CAGGTCCGTGAAAATTCAATCACAAAATAGTGGGTTCGCATCTCCACCGGAGCAAGCTTTTTTTAATTTTCTTCCTCCTACTTCAATATACAAGGAATATTCTCAGAATATTTGAAATAGTCCATTCCGAATGTTCATTTCATAGAACGTCCCTAGAGTATTCGTATCATATTGTGAGGATATTCAAATATTCTCGAAGAATATTCTATGAATGTTCTATGAATGACATTGTGCTATATGGGCAGTCTCCTTCAGATGAAAATATGTATATGCACATATCATTCTGAATATTCAACAGAAAATAACTACTTTCCTGGCTTTTAGCCATGTCGAACATTGAATTGAATATTATTATAATTAACTATCTGTTCTTTGCTCCGCGAAAATGGTACACCCTGTATATAGGGTCAGCTATTCAGCAAATATGATCTTTGTGAGATCTCATTGTATATTCTTCAAAATAAAGAAGAATAAATATGTCTTCATTTGAGGAAATGAGGGTATTGCAATTGCAACTGTTTTTTGCTATATCCTATCGAGATTTACTTTCACAGGTTTACTGACCGCACTGCTATAAAACATAAACCACTCGTCGTTTATAGTCTTCTTGAAGATGCCGCCACAAAAGGTAATCTGATGGGACTGTGACCCGGTGACTCTTGTCAACTGGATTCACCTTTTGTTATTCAATATAGTACGGTCAAATACAAAGATATATACCTATACCCAAATTACCACATCAATATTTAGAAAAGTCTGAATACGCATTTCGGCAACTTCGTTGCCAACCATGAGATGTATAAGTGATGTATACGCCACATCACTTTGTGACATGCGATATCGCATTTGAAGTCACAAACATGTTACCGATGCAACGTGGCGATGTGAAAATATCCGACTCAAGCAACATCACTGTGACGTCGTTCAGACATGAAATGCGACATCACATGCAAAATCACTACCAGGTCACATACAAGTGTACATTTCATATTTAAAATACATCACACTGCGACATCGATGATGTGGTCATCGTACCTGTGATATTCGTGGGATATATAATAATAATATAATCATTCAACTTTACAAAGAAAATGTTTATTTTCCGAAAGTAAAAACAGATGATACAAAACTTATCATGACAATCAGCCTAATTAGTAATCTTGAAGTAAAACATGACACATATATATAGCAATACAAATATACATTATTCATGAATGGTCTTGATACACATCCAATACACTAACATTATCTTGGGATCTTTCATCCACATTGTTTTAGATTGCAATATTCCTATCTCAGAGATAATCACAATATTATCTATTGTGATTGAACCCACCGTCGTTCCTAAATGATTGTATACCTCCAATTTGAAGCTGTTATAATATGTGCTATAAATCATCTCAGATATTTCAACATAGAGAATTCGGAAGGAAATAGTCTGTACGGAGTCGGACTCATTCACTGACTGACTGACTGACTGACATGGCCATGCACAGCTCAACATGGCGTCTGGCGTGTGCGTTCGTTTTGCGCATGTCTGCGCCACACTCACAGGTCACAAAGATATCTCATGAGGATATCAATGTGAATTATTTAGTTAACGTCGAAGAGATGTAGTTTGAAGAAGTCGCTGCCACATTACATAGTTTCCTGGTCGCGATGTCACCTTGCGACGTTGATATCGAATCTACGTCGATAAGATGTGTTAACAAGATATTGCATTTATGCAAGGTTGTTACATCACACAGATGTTGATGTCACACGATGGTTCACTGGGTTACCTTTCAACGTGTGATCCCAAACACTTTCTTGGGCCATCAGAAAAATGTCTGCAGTCGTTGGGAATCGAACCCACGACCGGCAAGCGAATGCGAATTAGAATACCGACACTCTGTCCGCACGGCTACCTGGCCTCCTGTATTTCAAAATATAGTCATTTGTATTTCAAATCAGTCCATTCAATTTCAATAAGTATCAAATGTATTTCAAAACAACTGAAAAGGCACAGGCAAAGATTATATGAGTGTTAATAAGGTGGTGATATTTTCATTCACACTGTTATTGGAATGTTACTGATTTCTGTTATCAAGACTTGAAGAATGAATTTCAAAGACAACTATGCTATTTTACGTTTCAATAAATAACAGGGTAAATGAAAATGTCACCTCTAACACCCATCTTTTACCTTTGCCTGTGGTTTTCAGTTCTGAAATTCAAATGATGCTTTACAGAATACATTTGATATTTTTGGAAATACAAATGACTATTTTGGAATTTGAAGAGTTAGTTTTTGAAATTAACGTTATAATTTTGAAATACAATTGATGTTTTTTTGAAATTAAAATGAAAAATTTGAAATACAATCGACGCATTTTGAAATTTAATTGATAACTTGGAAATACATTTGATACATTTCCAAATTAAATTCACCGATATGTTTTTTGAAATTCAAATAACTATTTGGAACTATAATTGACTATGTTTCAACTAAAATTGGAAAAGGTGTAGACCTTAGTTTCACAATTATCTATTCAATGTTCGAATTTTGAATACATACGGAATTATTATGAGTTTCCCAGTATCAATAAGTAAATGCTTCATTTCGATATTCATTAATCAAACCCTTTCCAATTTTGCAACGATATTGAAATTTTATGTCCAGCCGATATTGAGATGAGATGTATACGCGACATCACTTTGTGACATGCGATATCGCATTTGAAGTCACAAAAATGTTACCGATACAACGTGGCGATGAATCAAGGAACATCAATGCCACGTCGTTCAGACATGAAATGCGACATCACATACTAACAAGTCATATACAAGTGTACAGTCGTCTTCAGAGATCATGTCGCACATGGACGGTGTCAGCTCCCTTGATCACCGCTGCAATAAGAGCGCTCATACCGTCCAACTGCGACATGTTCGTTGAAGACGACTGTACATTCTATATTACAAATACGTCACACCGATTAGTGGTCCGTACCGGTGATATTTGTGGGATAGATGATTATAATAATAATGATTCATATTTACGGAGGAAATCTTTATTTTTCGAAAGTGATAACTGAGGATGATACCAAACTCATTATGACAATCATTCATATTAGTAATCTAGAAGTGAAACATGACACATAGCAATATGAATGAACATTAATTATACATAACATTACATAATGATACATTTTTAAATACAACTATATAGTTACCTTGGAATTATCCACCTTGCTTGAGATTGAGATATTCCTATCTCAGGGTACGAGATGCCAGATCATTGACAATAATTGAGATGAAATAATTACAATATCGAGATTGTACTCACCATCGTTCCCAAATCATTCTATAATTTGAAGCTGATATGTGCCATAAAATATCTCAGATTTTTCAACTGAAAATTCAGAGGGAAATACAGTCTGTGACGTATCGGACTGTCAGACGACGAAATCGATGATTCAACAATGGCGTGATACACATGACATGGCCACAGACCAACATGGCGCCTGGCTAGGTCACAAAGATATCTTATTAGGATATCAATGTGAATTATTCAGTTAACGTCAATTATATATGTAGTTTGATGAATGTCCCTGTTACATTACATATTTTCCTGGTTGTGATGTAACCTTTGTGACGTTGATATCGAATTTACGTAGATTAGATGTGCCAACGAGATATTGCATTTAAGTAAGGTTGTTACATCACACTGATGTCGCACGATGGTTGGCTGGGAATTTGCCAATATCTATTCGATCTTATCGATGCTACATAAAAATCTTACATCAATATCAATCAATTAATATCACTTTCATCATGGTTGGTGTCCTATGCATTTTATACTTTAGGAATTTTGTGACAACATTTCGATTTCTTGTTTTGTAGATATACAGGGTGTTAACAAATAAGTGTCACAATGGAAAACTGTAGATTCCTCATGATGATAGGAACATTTATTTCCTCTTCAAAATTTTTCTCCGGGCTTTCGTTTTCAAGATACAGGGCGTCAAGAAATCAAAAATGTTCAGATTAATTAAACACACTTTACAACACTTAATAAACTTAACAAATCGAAAACCAGCATCGAGACCAGCATACTCAAGAACCTGAAATTTGATTCAACATATTATTAGACAGTTCGGAGGTATTTATTTCCAGTGGATTTTTAGACGATTTTTGGAGATACCATCAGGATTTTGTATCTTTTTATTCATAAAGATCCATTTTTCTCGGAAACTATTGACTTTAGAGCATTGAGACAGGAGGACGTTTTTTGTGTGAAAGATATTGGCGTTTCTGAATCTACTTCGGAAATTACAACTTCTCCAGTGGCATAAATGTTTGGGGGGTTAAACCCTTACGAGGCGTTGAATTCTCCTCCACAGACATGTCCACGGAGATTGATTAAGAGCCCTAAAAGTAGTCATTATTGATGATGAAGTACGTACGAAGGCTCAACTCCGTAGCTCAGACGGTTCCTGAGATAGTAGCAAAAAACAGATTTTTTTGTTTTTTTTGACGCCCTGTATCTTGATAACGGAAGCCCGGAGACAAATTTCGAAAGGGAAAAAAATGTTTCTTTTTTAATAAGCAATCTACAGTTTTCCGTTGTGACACTTATTTGTTAACACCCTGTATACCCATATGAATCCATACCTTGATATAGGTTGGTAAATATTTATTTCTCTCATCAGATTTGTTTCATCCGAATTATATAACAGTAGTAGCGGAACTTCCTCAATTCATCATCAGATAGTTAGAAAAATGAAAAAAAAAAGTTTTTGCCGGGGCTCTCAACGTTACATTGGTGTGTATCAAAAAAACCTCAATACACACTGACAAATTACAAGGCTACCTGTTTAGTTTATCAATCTTGAGTCTCCCACAGTTCGAAAATATCTCCACATCACATTTCCATAGTAAAACATGCATTGTAAATAAATTTTTTATTTGCATAAATAAAATATACCTGATACAAAAAACATAATAACTCAACATTTCATTTAAACGTTACCATCTTTATTTGCCTCTGATACACACTGATGAACTTGTCCTGTATGTATTTTCATGTGTTCTCGAAGTCTGTACTGACGATAACATGTATACGAACAATACGAACAGCTGAATGGTTTGATTCCTACAAAATTATAGTATAAGATATAAAAAACTTAGGAATTCGCAACAAACATTTGAACGCAAGCCGCTTATTGTCGGTAATTAAGAATAACAGTCCAATAAAAATGATGTGTTGATATCCCTCAATACAAGAACTCTTTTCATTTTTGTAGGGCAACAATTAATACTTCGGATTCTTATACAAAAATCCAACTAATGCGAGCACTTTCAAATAAAAAAGATGAAGAAAATCATTCCAAATTTGATTAAGTTTATATCTATGACAGTTTATAACACAATTTGAGAATTTTCCAATTACTTTTGTGCGTAGAATGGGTACAAAACACTTAAGTTTGCTGGGTTCCTTCTGACTCACCCTGTGTAAGAGAAACAAATAGAGTATAAAGGGCCATGGTAATACTGGTACTTAATCCCGGTCAACTCTTGCCGGCGAGAATCAAATGAGCGGCATGCTATGTATAGTTTTTCGATTTTTTTGTGTTTTTTTATATCTTGCTGACTATACGTTGTTTCGGTTGGTTTAAAAGTGGCATCTTGTGCGATAGGCAAATTTAAAATGAAAATATGAAACAGAGTTGCCTATAGAGAGAGAGAGGAATTGTGGCCATAAGTATTGTATCATTGAAACTATATACTAATTTTACTTCATTGGAAATTAAACAATAAATTAAAATCTTGAAACTATTATTTTTCATATCTAGAACCTCTAGAACTGTATAATTCTCAGTAGACGCGATATCAATAATAACTGACCACTATGGAGCCTTAGATGTCCTTTCAACAGTTCATTTCTCTTGAAAGCTTTTTCACAGAACGGGCATTGATGTGGTCTATCCTCTCTATGTGATATCATGTGCTGATTGAGGTGGCTCTTTTGTCCGAAGTTTTTACCGCAAAAAGAACAAAGGTGCGGTTTCTCTCCTGTAAACGAAATATACCTGAGAAATGATGACGGATGTACCTATAAGAAATTTTGAACGTATCATGCAATGATATTTTTTTCGAATTTATAATCTGGTGATAATATTTTTCGGTATAGTACAAGCTCCAGCAAAAACGTATACCGCGGACCGCCAGTATCCATCATCAAGAGGAATTTCGTTTCAAGCAACCTATATTTATCTTCTTCAAACATTTTTCCAGACAAAATGTCACTGACAAGCTACTGGATTTTTCTTTTAGGCTCCCTGATAGAGAAATTTGTTAAACGCAGTGACATTTTAGGGCGAATCATCTGATTTGTCCCACTACAGATATATTGAAATAATACGCATCTTTTCATTTTATAGAAACAAGGAGAGAAAATCCTGAAAAATCAAGTAAAATGAATGTACCACTTCTTCGAGTAACCTACAGATAGTATTGAACTAAAATATTTAACCTCAAATAAAAATTATGGCATAAAATGATTTTTACCAGAATCAATAACATTTTCGAGAAAGAAACCATTACATGATGAGTGCAAGATTACCGAAATAGATCTAACTAAAGTACCTGTATGTTTGCTCAGATGCAACCGCAGTTCTGATTTTCTACAAAACCGCTTACCGCATATATCACAAACCTCTGGACGCCCAGTATGCTGTCTCATGTGGGTATTGAGAACTGATTTTTGAGTAAAACTCTGCAATGATAATATCCAATGAAAAGTATATACATTAACGTATTAATTCAATATGATTTGGGTTAACAGGTGAGTTAGATATTTTTATATTTTGTTTCTTATTTCAATGCCACCCTGTATATATTCTAGTACTCACAGACTCACACAAAACACTCTGAATATGGAAAACATGACATTATGTTCGAGGAACATCCTGCGTTTCTTCGGATTTTTTGGAGATTATAAGTTCTTAGGAGTAGGACATTTTTTATTATTTTGCAGTTTTGTTTGTCACCCTATCCAACCAGATATACCTTCATGTTTTTTCATTAATAGTCATTATTGATAGATTTTTATCCGAATATATTGAATATAGTTTGTTCCATAGTTTATTAACCTTTAATTATTATAGTATTATTCCAGAACTGGGCAGTACTCGAGTAAATTGTACTCAAAATTGTACTCCAGTACTCGAAGTACTCAGTAATCAGTACTCGTGAGTACTTTCATTTTGACGTACTCAGTTCCCGAAAAAAATTGAGTACTTTTCACTTTTAGAGTTTTGAGTACTTGTGGTTCCTACATCTGGCGACTAACGAGTACGAGTATCAACGTGCGCAGCTGCGCACAGACAAGTCTCAGCTTGTCTTGAATGTCGTGCCTCATTTTACATTTTATTTCGTGCAGTGGATAGGTGTGAGTTGTTATTGTCAGCATAATACGTGGAATGTGATTTTTGGTAAGTTGATGAGTATCTTCAACTTGAGGTCTCTAATAATTTTTTATCATTACTCATACTCATTACTCATTCTTCACGAGTACTCTCTGAAAGTTGTAAAAGTACTCATTTGCTTCAAGCACTTCTCATATAAGTACTCATACTCAAACACACTTATGAGTACTATTCAAAGTTACTCATTGTAAAGTACTCATCGAGTACTTTAGTGCAGTACTCTGCCCAGCTCTGTATTATTCATTTCAGCCCTAACATAGTTTATGTTTGTTGAAAACTCGGTAGAAAAATCATCATTAAAAATTACAATCCAGTATCCAGTCTATGAAGTTGAAAAAAGTTTTTCTGTTATTGCTTCAAAAAGTGGCTTATTTCCGCCAAACACTGGAGCAATTGATTTCATCATCAGTTTGCTCAGAGTAAGATTTCAGTTTCAAACTTACTTTTTGACAAAAATTGCATTTGTATGGTTTTTCTTTAGTGTGAGTTCTCTCATGTTCTGCAAGTTTCACTTTATGATGGAATTTCTTCTGGCAATAACGGCATTCATTAGGTACTGTTCCATTGTGAATCTGAATATGAAGTTGTAATTTATATGAACTCCTGAAAAAAGGCAAGGCATATTATCAGGAGCACATTTTTCCATCATTTTCGGGGTTACCTGAACTCCTTTTGACAAATTTCACACATCAATTTAGAATGGTAATTTGCTGCATGTTTTTCCAGATTATCCACTTTTTTATCACACTTCTCACAATATTCGAAAGAAATGTCCTCAAATGTGTCTAAGTTATCAACAGTATCATTAGAATTTTCATCGGCATCTTTCAAGGAGTCACTATCACTGAGACTCTCCGGACAATCTGATATTTTTTCAGCAACTTTGTTATCTTTCAACTTATTATTCGAATAATCTTCGTAGTTTCGTCCATTTTCTGTTTGTTGTTCGCTAATATCTGGCGGAACACATTCGTGTTGATGCAGTTCGTCTTTTTTGTGAAAATGCTTCATGCACTTTTCACAACTGAGTTTACCATGGATATTATTGAGGTGATATCTCAGTGCCGCTGCCTGTAAAAATCCTCTCAAACAATTCGGGCATCTGTGCGGTCTGTAGTTGGTGTGAAGGAATTTATGTTTTTTCAACGATGATGCTGAATTGAACATATTACCACACAAATCACACTTAAATGCACCTAGAAAATAATAATGTATTACGTACTATTATGGAAAGTTGTATAAAAGATGAAAATTAATACGTAAGAAAAACATTTGGTGATTACACTGTATCAAAGTGCTGATAAACATAATTAAAGGGGCAAGTGGAAGTGGGTCAAGTAACTTTTTCTGAGAATATTCGGTTATGTCATGGAAGAAGGTGTGGGTAGGTTGCGTTCTGCCCAATTTTTGATTCACCCTATTTTCGATTGGCCCAATTTTCGAATCGCCCAATTTTCGATTCACCCAATTTTCAATTCGCCCACTGTTTGGTTTGATATTATACTATCTTTATTTCCTATCAGTTACATTAACCTTTATAACATTGACATCTCCCTCATACTCAAACTTCCATGTATAGGGTGATCCATACATCTCCCCTTTTCACTCTTCCATCTGCCTAAAGAGATGATTTCACAGATATTAATGGAAATTCTTATAGAGTTATTTCAAGTAATCAAGATAAGTTATTACGTATTCAGTATCTTGTAGTACTAAACCTACGACTGCGCCATGTTTGGTTTAATATTATACTATCTTTATTTCCTATCAGTGACATTAACCTTTATAACATTGACATCTCCCTCATACTCAAAGTTCCATGTATAGGGTGATCCATACATCCACCATCTCCCTTATATACCCGAATGATGCGTTGTTGCCAAATCTGAATGAAGAATCATTCTGGGCTCATCAATATTAAATATTTCAATTTTTCGATACACATAATATGTATGTATAGTACATATTTCGATTTGCCGATTTTCGATTTACCCAATTTTCGATTCGCCCAATTTTCGATCCACCCAATTTTCGATTCACAAAATTTTCGATTCACTCAATTTTCGATTCACTCAATTTTCGATTTGCCCAATTTTCGATTCGCTCTATTTTCGATTCACCCAATTCTCGATTCGTCCCAAATTCGATTCACCCAAATTTTCGATTGACCCAAATTTATGTCCACCCGATTTTCGACGTAATATAAAGGAAAATATTTTTTTCTGCATGAGGAAGGAGAATACCTTTTCCAAACCACCTAACCTAGACTACCTACCCTACATAACCTACCTAACTCGGCCGAATCGAAAATTGGGTGAATACAAAATTGGGTGAATCGAAAATTGGGGGAATCGAAAATAGGGTGAATCGAGAATAGGGTGAATCGAAAATAGGGCGAATCGAAAAGTGGGCGAATCGAAAATTGGGTGAAACGAAATGTAGGCCAAACGACATATTTTAATGTGAAACGATTATTGATAATTCCCGTTTCATTGAATCCGAGGAAATGTGGCATTATTTGACAATAACGCATTTTTCGGGTAGGTTCGGAGACGATGGGTGAATCGAAAATTGGGTCAAACGAGACGTTCCCGAAGGTGTTACGTAAATATGTAACTTGCCCTGTCAGGATTTGTTTCTATTCTTTATGTCGGAGTAGATACACAGTGGTAGAAGGTGCTATGTTACATTAAACATCAAGTACGCAATGAAAGAAGGAGTTATGTGCCTATTGTCCCCATGTCATGAAATGGTCTATCAAAAAATAATATGATAGCAAAATGATGTTATGTAGCAGGATCATCGAACTTTGGAATGAGTGAATGTTAAGGTATCCTAGGAATGACTGTATCATGTATATGTGAGTCAGTTTTGTTGACTGATGTCATCGGAACAATTTGGTAGCCTTTTGGGGATAATATTGAGACTGTTATCTGAAAGATATACAACTAATAGCCCTGGTATCAGATTGTTCACTGATTCATCAATCCACATGTAAATAAACGTATTTGAGTAACGACAGTGCCTTTCTTCGAGGACCGTTACAGTTAATTATAAAAAAACAATCTAAAACTATTACTCACAATTATTACATAAATCAAATTATTAAACTGGTTTCCATTAAAAAATGTCATCTAACTTTACTTAAACCTATTCTTCTCACAAACTCATATTTGTAACAACTCCTTGTTCCACTTGCCCCTGCAATAATGTCCCAACTTGTTTTGTTTTTTAAATAAAGGATATCAATGTTTTCGTTAAAAATCAACTTTTATTAATAACTCAAGAGTATTTATGTGATTCAGTCTTCTTGTACAAGAAAAACATATACAAGATGTTCTAGTTCTAGTTCTATGATAGCTTGAAACATGATTCGAAAACATATCTAAACTGGGCAAGATCTAATGCTACAACTTATTGCCGATAGTCGAAGACAATTTTTTTTATGGAATGACCTGTAAATTACCATATTTTTGAACCTATTTCAGTGACTTCTATACATCTCTCTGATCTCTCCAATATCATTTTGATTCTTTGTCGAAATAATGTCAGTTACAAAAGTGAAAACTGATACTGATTTTTTTACAGTCAACAATTACAACGATGTTGATGACGTCAGTTGTTAATATTGCTACGCCAAACTCGACAAAAGTCGGTCAAAATCGGCTAATTGTATGTGGAAATCGTCGTAATGTTATTAACAAGTCGACAATTTTTTAATCGCTTGAAGCGTACGAGAAGGACTCCCTATAGTTCGGAATATCATACCATGGAAGAATGGCATGGCAATGAACCATTGCATTTTATGAGAATATATCAGCGAGACCTAGCCACGTGACTATTTTGAAATACAATCGACGCATTTTGAAATTGAATTGATAATTTTAAAATGCGTTTTATACTTTTCGAAATTGAAATAACTGATATTCAATCGGAACAGATACAGGGTGGTCTAAGATTCAAAATTTTTTTGAGCTGTAGAAATTTCACTGGCTGCTTGTAAAAAATAAAATTACCTGCATGACACATTACATGTTCAACGTAAGAATTTGCACGGAACATTTTTTCGCAGAAAGTACATGGAAATTTCTGCATATGTGTTTTCCTGTGTTCATCCATATTTTCGAAAATTCCATTACACTCCCTACACCAATCAGGCACCTGATCTCTGTAAAATGACTTTCATCAATAATTGATAGAAAACAATAATTGAAACCAAATTCTGTACAAATAAAGAACAACATAATTTGAACAAATTAACAAATCAAAATTATGCAATTAGATTCATAAAAATGAAAAATGGATTATTAATTTACGAAAAACTATTTGAATTAGCTATTGGGATGCTTGATTGATGGCTTTATGTTTCAATAATATACATGGTGTACTATTTGACACAGAGATTTTTAAAAATATTTCTTTATAATTAATTTTTTTTAATTAATTCAATCTTTGCTATAAACATTACATTGCATCTCATATAAATATGATTATAATCATTAACATTTACAATGGAATAACATGAATAATCAGACAGATTCATATCTGGTATGAGATTATTCATGCGTTATCAAATTAAATTATAGTTATTGAAATAAACCACAGAATATGAAAAAAATAAATAAAACAAAAAGCTCATGAAAAGTACATTATGACATGATGAAATAAATTAGTCAATGAGAAATCATTCACTCAGGTTTGATTTTCTCTTTGCAAGACGATATGTTTCTTGACTTTGATTTTGAATTGGGTGATATTTGTGCAACTTTTGATATCATTAGGTAATTTATTGAATTTTGAAATAGCTCCGTGAGTGAACTTTTTTTGACCAAGTGTAGAATGAGCAGCATCAAGATAGACAAGTCATATTGTCTAGTATGATGTTCATGGATTTGAGAATTCCTTACCAATATGAAGTTAGATTCGCGGTGTTTGTTGATAATATCAAAAGAAATTTTGAGAGTATTTATCAGATAATGCTCTTCCAAAGAAAATGTATTTGTTTCTTCATAAAGTTGATTTGATGGGGTGTCATATGGAAGACGATACAGTACTTTGAATGCTTTTTTATATAGTACAGATATTTTGTTGAAATTATTCTTGGAACATGAACCCCAAAAATTTATGAGATAGTTCATTTTACTAAGGATGTGAGAGTATAGAACGGTATTTGCTATATTTGGGAGAAGTTTTGGACATCTTCTTAAGGCATCAACTATGGGGGAAATTTTTTCTTTGAGCATGCCAATATGCTTGTTCCATGTTAACTTTTCATCAATCCAAATACCAAGGTATTCGGTATAGGCAGTTTGTTTCAATCTTTCATTTTTTATTCTAATATTCAAATCAATATTTTGTTTATTTCTTTGATGGAAAATTATATATTGGGTCTTATTAGAATTGAGGAAAAGAAGATTGGAGTATAGCCATTCTTCCATTTTTTTCAAATCCTCATTTATGTTGTTTTCTAAAATTACAGGGTTTTTGTTTTCAAATGAAAGTACTGTGTCATCTGCATATATGGCATAGTTTCCTATTAAATTTATTTTTGAAATATTCTGAATGTATAAAAGATACAGAATTGGGCCCAACCACTGATCCTTGGGGAACTCCTTTGTTTATATATAGGATTTTAGATTCACAATTATTGATTTTAGTACTGATAGTTCTTTTTTCTAGATATGTTTTCAAGAGATTGTTTCCAATACCTCTGATGCCCATTGAATTAAGATTTTTCAGGAGAATATTGTGGTCAACTGTATCAAATGCTTTTTTTAGGTCCTTTGTCAAGATGATATTTGTCCATTTCTCACATTTGTTTGAAAAGTTGCTAAACACCTGCTTACATACTTTGTCTAGCATTCTATCTTAAAAATCATTGATATTAACCAGTAGCAGAGTACAATTCATAAAGATGGAAGGGATATTGAGGGGACGTTTGTTGTTCTTCTGGAATGCTGACCGAAACAACAAAAAATTTGCGACTAGCTTTTGTTTGTTGACTCCGTGTTGATTTTTGTCGTCTACTACCAATTGTTGCCTATCATTTGCTCTTTTTTTCACCTTACTGATGAGGGTCGAATGACCAAAACACGTGTCTACGGTTTACTCTTTGTGAGGGATACGTCCATTATTGTCTTCCTAGCCTGGTTCCGAGCTGAACAGGGTGGCTCCCGTTAGAGATACAGGGCCGGTTATATAAATGGCAAAGAATTTTATGACAAACAAAATGCCGTTTTAAAATCTGAAAAATTCCGAGTACTTTCATATTCGCGATTTCATTTTTATTTTTGTAGTACTCTATTTAAATAGATGTAATAAAACGAAAAACCTCGCGAAAAACACATTCACATTGCTAGTTTTTCTGTTCTACAAGATGGTGTTATCAGATTTTTGAACCGACGTTTCGTCTTTGAGCATTCATCATCAATTTTGTTTTCTGAATACGCCCTAGATTTTTATAATGGGTTTAAAGAGCTTCTGTTTTCCCAAAACCAATGGTCTATCGCACTGATTGGAAGATTTATATTTACGGTATTTTCCATTAGAACCCATGTGTTAGAGACAAAGAATACATTTTTAATAGGGATAAAAACAAATACCTTTTTCGATTAAGTGCCATACTCCGTTGATTTCAGGAGATTGAAAGCTCTTAAAATCAATAATAAAAAATACAGAGCCGTACTTAAAAAAACAAAGTTGATGATTGCAGCTCAGACAAAACGTCGGTTTGAAAATCTTATAACACCATCTTGAAAAACAGAACAAGTAGCAATGAGATTGTGTAACTTGTTTTGTTAGATCTATTCAGATAGATTCATAAAAAAATAAAAATGAAATCACGAATATTCGGTGTTTTCAAAAAATCTTTGGAAACATTCGGAATTTTTCAAATTTCAGAACAGCATTTTGTTAGACATAAAGTTGCGCAACTTTACCATAATTTAACCGATCCTGTATCTCTTACAGTTGACGTGACCCCAATGATGAGGCTCGAATTCCAACAACCCTGTTCAATTTATCTCTGATGCAAAACTAAAATTCTAATGAAAATTGAGTTTTTCATTTAGAAAGTTGGTAACCACCAACATACTGAAAATGAGATACCCTGTATTACAATGATCAACATCAGCCTGTACAGTTCTTTCACTGTAAGATGAAACTGATATTATCTATACTTTCTCATTAAAAGGACACCAAAATACATGGATTTTGATTTTATTTGCTTGTGCTTGCCCACGCATCACACGTTGAAGTCTGCAAATCACGCGTAAAATATTCAACTTGGCAACATCTATAGGAGGCTAGACTCCTTCACAATGCGCAACCCTAGCGCGCAATGCAAATGCTCGAATACGCCCGAATAACACGTGTTTGTCGTGGTCGTGTCTCGTCGCGAATTGCGGACAATCGCGAGTGCATTGTTTATGTTTATGTTAGGTTAATGGTTAGGAGCTCTATAAATTTCTGAAAAATGAGTGTTTTAAACGATTGCGATTTAGTGGAATACTTTTTAGTGAACCCATTAGTCTTATGAAGATAAATTGATTGTGAAAAACAAACGCCCGACACCGGAATTAAAAAATCTGATTGTAACAGGTAACTAACAATATCGTTCGTTCAATTCTGATAATTATAAAAAATATATCTGGTTGACGTGATCTGAGGTAAGGAATAAGCTATTTTGTTCGTACTGCGTATTATTTTCAACCGATAAGTCATCATGTTGGAGGCGATTAGGATATAGTGATTTGAAAAATCTGCCTCGCGGATTGGATAGACACTGCAAATCACAGGAACACATCTCTTCAAGTATAAGTTCAGGTTAACTGGTTAACAGAATGTCATTAAAGCTATTGATTTGGGTGAGTCCTAGAGAGTTGTTTTTCACAATAAATCTCATATCATTCAGCCTCCTCTGTCATGGAATTCACGAGCCGCCACTGGATGATAGTGACGTCATTATGTCAAACATGCAGGGTTGCCGGTGGTAAATTATTCAGTAATAGTTCAACTGCTCCTATAAGGATATGTCAAGTGCTTGAATAGTAGGACAAAATTATAAGGGAACAACTGGTATTTGCCTGTTCTAAAGAAATAGAAAAAATTTAAACAGTTCTCTATCATCATCTTCAGATTTGTGATACTAGATGACCGAATTTTTTTTTTCTAAAATTTTTCAATGAAAATATTGAGTGGACAGTCTTGCAGAAAATCATGAGTGGCTCATATATGTGGGATGCTTGATAGAGAACATGCTTGGGAACATGTTAAAGTGTGAGATCTATATTTTTAGCATAAGGCTATTAATTGGCTGAAAGAAATATTGACAAATCAAATTGGGAATTAATTTTTGATTTCAATGGGCCAATGGACTGATAATGAATTATTGGCATTCCATTACTCCACTGTGTCAGTAGGAACCTTAATTAATTTTTGCAACACTTCATAAATAACAAGTCTGTGTTGTTCAAAATTGTTGAATTTCAGAGCTTATTTCAAAGGAACCATTGGCCGCCATTTAGCAATACGTGGAATAAATGGTAACATCAGTTTTTATGCTGTTTTGTTATTGGTCAGATAATCTTTCATTTCCACTCATGAAGCAAGGTTATCAAGTTACCAATTATAATCAAGTTATCAGAAAGATGTAAGAGTCCAAATATTGCTTATTCTCCATAACAACATATCATGTGAATGTTGGAGACTTGGCAACATTGTGCTGAATGCTGAGAACTGACAAGACCATGCCCACAAGTCGTGTGCTGTGATTGTCAATTATTATTCACACAAATGTAATAAAAGCATCAAGTTACAAATCATAAGGCCACATTTTGAGATAATTGAATTTTTATTGCTTATTTAGGAGTATTACCAACACTCAATTGAGAATTTATGAATTATTGAATATCTAATATTTCTGAAATTCCCAATTGTATTCCAACACATAGCAACTGTGCTGTGGTCTGCTCCTACTTACAAAATCTTGGGTCAGTTTTTACTGGCAGTTAATTTTTAGCTGTTTGAAAATTACCATGGTATTATTGATGATTTTTGCACCTAAAAATCGACCAAAATATTTTTTTCAAATATGGAATTGAAAGGTATCTGAGTGATGATTCTATTTAAAAAATTAAAAAAAAAATAGTCCACTGATCTATTTAGAAATTATTATTATGTTTACTAATTTCTAATGATGTATCAATGATTCTACCATCATCTGGGCTTTTGAATATATTCACCATTGATCAAAGATTTATAAATAAATCACAAATAAGTTCTGAAATCAATAGATTGCCAATATTCACTGATAAATAATTTGCAGAAATTCAAATTCTTCCTGAAAATGTCAAATGAATCTGGTATTCCTGTATTGATTTGCTAACTTGAATGGGTATCACAGATAGCCCTTTTCAAAAGTGACAATTGACTTGTACTTTTTGTGGTATAGTTGTGGCATGACTGATTTACCAAGAATTAGGATTTGTTACTATCAACTCACAGTGAAAAGCCTATAGATGAACAAGATGAACAGAAACTGAAGTGTTGTCTCTTCTCAGACTGCTTCATCCCTACCAGACTTATACATACAGATATAAGAGCAATAGGTACTCACTTATGATGGCCTGCCATGTGCTTTATTAGATACTTCCTTTGAGACACAGTGAAACCACATATCAAACAATTATCACATTTTCCTCTAGCTTTTTTGAATGCTTCAATGGCATTATTAACCTCCTCAATAGGTACTGGTTTGATTGAAGAACTAGGAGTTCTTCTGATTGTATGTAGGGAGTCATCTAGTGGGTCTGTATCATTACTTTTAGAAGTTTGATCAGATTTAATTAGAGGATCACTGGTCTCTTCATCAGAAACAATTGTTTCTTTGAACTATGAATGAAAAAAGCAGAAATCAGTTATATTAAACTATGAGAAGTTTCTTCAACCTAAAATTCAATTTGAAGCAAGCAAAAATTGTTGATTACTTACTCTACTTACTATGAATCAACTGTGTATTGTGAAAACATTCCTAATTAATGGTCTCAAATATAACAATTGTTCTGGTTTTATTAGATCACAGAATGGAGACATTATTAATATTTCTATCCCTCAATTTAAAAACAAATACCTTGATTTTGCTTCCATCCAGAATTTTTATACTTTTCAAGATTTGCTGTAGAAAGCTGTATGATGAAGTTAATTTTTCATCACATGAAGTACAAAGAAGGTGTGAGTATTCAATATAAATAGAAAACTGAAAGATGAATGATAATTATTGAAAGTAAAAAGAATACATGAAGTGAACTCACCTCTACATGAGTTAAAGCTGATAGCTTGTTCAGTTTCTCATTACTTTCATTTAGGTTTATTGTTTGAGACATCTTCTCCAAGCAAACTATGCAGCATTCTGATAATTTACTATTCATTGTTCAACCAAATACTACAAGTAGTAATTATTTATGCTGGCGATTGCTGAAGATAACTCAAGAAAACCGCTGATGCTGCAACTGAAAAAGAAACATTGCTTGTGGAACACACTTCACTAATAACTGAATAATTATAAAAATTGGCCTGAATGATTCCGCACCATGAATATTAAGCGAATCCATGAAATCAAAATCGATAGACATAATCAAATATATCAAGCAATATCTGTGTTATCACCTTATAATTAAAAAAATAAATTGTTTTCCTTTATTCCATTTTTCCTCTATTTCTAGTGTTGTTGTTGATTAAATTCTGATCTGTCACTGTCAAGTGTCACTTTATAGGTTATGACAAAGGTGGATAATCATGGTTATGACTGAAGTGAGACGTGACTTGTTTCAGTTTTATTTGACATTTGGCACATTAGAACACAGCGTCGTGACCTCAGAGCTGAGATGCCCAGAGAATTGTGGGAAGTGTTGCCCGAATCCTACTTACTAAAAAGAGAAGAAGTCAAGAAAAGAAGAAACGATCGAGAGGAACGTAGCCTTGCTGACAGGTTCAAAATAAATTTTGATTTTTCTTTGATATTTCAGATATTCTGATATTTTCGGATACGGAATATGTATCCTGAAATCAGTACTTTGAATGAAGCTTGCAGAGCTTGCCTCAGAAAACAAAAGAATATGAAACAGCTTCCAAATTATAATGATGATACACATGAATTAACTAAGAAAATCGCATCTCTTCTCCATCTCCAAGTGACCAAAGTAAGCTATCACATAGACCATAGGTATCGTACCTTGCATGCAATATTCCAATTTATATAGGTAGAAAATTAGTTTCTTGTTATATATTTTCCATAGATTCAGACTAGCAGTTATTATCCATGTTACTTATGTGGTGAGTGTGAAGAAAAACTGGATATATCTTTTAAATTCCAACAGCTATGTCAACAATCACATGAATTTATAATAGCTTATGTTGGTAAACTAAATACAGTAATTTTCAAAAGCAATGAAGATAAGGGAAGTGAAATCCCTAAAGAACCCTACACCCATGTAATTGTTGAAGAGCAATTATGTGATACTAATGATTTGGAAATCCTGGGAGATTCTGTTGCAAACAATAAGGCAAACAATTTCAATTCTATACAAACTGCTGAGGAAGTTATGAAATTTTCAAATAAACAGGTAATGAGGCTGTCCCAGTATCCCCAAGAAGAAGTAAATTCAGTTATAAAAATGATAAGGGAAAAACTGTCTAAACAACAGAACTGCCTTTATTGCAACTTTACTGCTAAAGGTTCTAGATCCTTATCTTTTCACATGAGCAGATTACATCAGTAAGTATACTTACCTATTAAACTAGGTATGCTGTCATATATTACCATCTCAGGGTACACAATTATTATAACTATTCATATTTTTTAAGTAGGTAAACTCTTATACTAGATACATTTACCAGAGATTATACATTTCCCCAACTACCAATTCATTCTTCTAAATTCCCAGTTGGTGATGAAAGTTGATTTTGATTTTAAGTTTTGAAATTTTGTATTTACCACATTTTCAAAATTTTCAATGTTATGTTAATTCTAAGGTTAATTCACTTCTTTCATCAGTGGTATATCAGAGGATGGCAGTAACATGAATTATCATTGTTTTTGAAGACTACCACTTGAGAAATATGTCATATAATTTCAGGGAGATATATACCATGCACCTGAGAAATATCAGAGATATATCACTTGAGAAATATCAGGAGATATCACTTGATAAATATCAAGATAAACATTTTGATAATGGGCAAAATGCTGTACTTATGGCTTTTGTTTGTATTATTAATATGGCCTCAAAATTCCCAGTCAACAAGGAGGTCAACACCCATATAGTGCAGTATTTTACTAGGCAGCAAAGTAGTAGATTGACTGCAGTCAATTATTATACATGTAATAATATCCTATATTATTATTGATCTCTAGTTAATCACATACACTTATAAATTGCATGATTTTTCAACATGCTATGTTTGAATTAATATTGCAAAATAGGTAATAAATTTACATATAGGTACTAATCATATGTATAAACCAAAAAAGGACAATACTTTATCTGATTCAGATCATATTAAATTTATCACACACATCTGTTATAACAGAGTTTTTCATAATTATGTTTAATTTTTTCATTTGTCTTACATTCTTGTTGTTCATATTTACTATTTATTTGTATTTGTATTTATTTGTAAGTATTTTTGAATTGAGAATTAGGAATATGATTATTTTTTTATGAGAATGTTTGTTTTGTTTGTTTTTATTTTGTTGGAAATAGGTCAAGTTTCTGTTTACTGATATTTGACAAAGTATTTTCTGATGATATAAAAGTCAAACTGGCAACCCTGGTCCACGCAGAGTGTGAGTTGACAACAACTGTCATTTGCTGTTATGGAATTAATTATTCAGGAAATTCGATAGATTTCACATGTGAATAGGACCATGATGTGGATATATGTGTTTGAGGGCGACGAAAAAATTTAATATGCACCTCAGCAAAAAACTGGCCATTGTCTCGTCTGATTGTTAGCCTCGGCTGAGGCCGCGGCTATCAATAAATAACTATTGTGTGCATTATACGTCCATGATTGTGTGATTTTTTTTCTGCAAAATCTCAAAATTCGTCCATTTTTGTTCCAAAATTATTTCGAATGCAGAAAAAATAGCATGTTGTATTCGGAACAAAAGTGAATCTGTTTGGCTCGCAAATCTTGCACTCGGCTTCGCGGTCGCTCCGCCTCGCAAAAATATTGCTTGTTAAACAAAGTGTCACATTTGATCCTATTAAAACCGAGATTAAAACAATGTACTATTCATTGAAAACTCCATCATTTTGTGTTCACCCAAGGAACATATTGCATAGCAATAAACTTTATCTGTTTAAGCAGACCTTTGCTGTCTGTTAAAAGCCACTTTCTATGCTGTTTGGAGAAAATAGTTATTTGTGTTACTAGACAGCAAAGTAGTAGCATGCCTGCCGCGACTGATAGTTCATAGCCGAGCGTAGCGAGGCTAGGAATTCAGCTAAAGCAGTCATTCTACATTTGCTCCTCATTCTACATTTGCTCCCGTGTGAAACATAATTTTTTCTTCAAAATAAATGTTATTAAACCAATTTCGTGTAACTTTTTATGGAACACTACATCATTTTCTGTTCACCCAATGTCAAAGTGTCAATTTTGATTACCAATTTCATTCAAATTATTTGGAACGCATATTCGGTTGCATAGCAACAAACTTTTTCTACCTAGTTACCTATAGGTTACCTATATGTAAAAGATTCACTCTTCATTCACTATAGGATGTATTATTAGGATATTGTATTTTATTTCTAGAGGATATAAAGAAAAATGGTGTTCCAAATGTAACAAAAGTGTTGAAATTTTATCTGAACACTGGAAGGATGAACATGAAGATGAATTCAAGTGTTGTTTCTGTGAAAGAAACTTTGATAATACTAGTCATTTATTAGAACACTTAGCCTGTCATACAGGTGAGATCAATGAAATATTGTTACTTATTCCTATAGGTATTGATTATCATCTAATTATATACGTGAGTACAATTTGGCACCAGAATGGCGATATTTGAAAGGGTTTTGTAGTCATCATTGACATGCCCATGGTATTTTTGTTTTGTTAATACAGGGTGTCCCTGAAAGAGGTCTGTACAAAATCTCAGCACATAGTCCTGAGGCCAAAATATGTCGATTCAAAGCAACTTATTTTAACATGGTTTTGTCATATGAGGAAATAAAAGATTATTATTATTATTATTATTTCAGTCCGGAATTGCTCCGTTTCCGAGACACAGGGTGGAGTAGTAAAAAAATAAAAATCGAATTTTTCGAAATGTATGAACATTTCCAAACGTATCACTTCAAAAATTGGAAGCCAGGGACTTTTTGAGATGCGAGACTCGAATATGGACACCCCTTTTCACTGTAGCCATATTAGAAATCGCTAACCAAGGCACCTCGTATATGGTTTAGAATGGCCATAACTTTTTTCCCAGTATGGTTTTAATAGGAAATAGGGTATAAACACTGACTTCGCAGTTCATCTGCTGTTATAAATAGTGAATTTTAATGTATGTACCTCACGCTCGTCTTCAATTTGATTTTCCAACCAGGCCGTTTCGTACGTTCCTTCCATAAGAGAATGGGGTTGATATTTCCTTTGGCTTTAATAAATGGAATCCATTCTCTTCAGAATTCGAACAATTCATTACACAGCAGGACATTTTCATTTATGCCTTCTTCTCAATAGTTTATGAAATTATATTTCAATTTTGCCGTTCATTGTATTATTGTATTTATTGTCAAACTCAAACAATTTTGAATGAAAAAGCGCGGGACGACTTTGGTGCTCTTGTCACAATGCAAGATGTGTAACTTGATAAATCTAAACATTCAAAAACACTAAACAGTGGTCATTTCTGTATTCGAACTCTTATCAAACTAATACCATGCAGTGACTAATTCACACGGGTCCTAATTTATATATAGCTGAGATATAAAGGTGTGCCGTTTGAAGTGAGACATGTTATTTATATTTTCCTGAGAAGTGTTGCAGATTAAAATGTTTGATGTCTTTTAGTTGATCGTAAATTTCGATGTGAAATTTGCCAAAAATGTTTCATCTCGGCAAGGCATTTGAGAGCACACACCAAAGTCCATTCCCCGGAAAAAAAGTACGCCTGTCTTGTCTGTTCAAAAAGTGTGCGGACTAAGCAATCCCTAATCACACATTTGAAATCGCACAAGAAGCACAAATGTAAGGTTTGTGAGGATATCTTCGATCCGCTCAACTATGAAAGTCATAAGTGCTTTCCCAAAACTGAAAGTGCTGCCAGAGAAATTGATAGCAGAACCAGTGCTGAAACAATAAGGTACCTTATTCCTATTTTTTTATCGCTTGGAGCGCACGAAAGGAAATCCCTTCAATGTTCGAAGATTGTTTGCGGAATCGTTACATATACCGCGGGTGGTTCAAATTCTATCCTCACCATTGGGTGATATATATCATCCTGTACATTTATTCGGAATAAGTTGAGGTACCATTGAATCATGAGGGGATTTTGTTTTATTATTGTTTGACAGGTTAAGAAATTGTACTAGGTAAACTGATGACGAATTTTGGGGATTAAAGAATTCAATTTGAGCATTCGACTCGTTTATCCATAATACTACATGGTGGCAGCGGTGGTTGAATAATATCATCCCGAGTATATCCAGCTCCATGTCAGATTCCGAAAGTAAAACAATGTCTGCTCCCTCAGTCTAGGTATTATCAAATATAACTCCTCCTGAACAATTCAACTTCAATAATCCTGCATCTTGGCCCCAATGGCAGAAAAGGTTCGAGCAACATATGAACGAGGCTCATTTGTTTTTTCAACAATGACTCCATACTTTCTCAAATCACTGATCCAAACAGGATCATTCGGTTTCAATTCTGAAAATGGTTAAACATTATGCCGTTTAGAAGGTTTCGAAAATCCAATTATGTCCGGAGATATCCGGAAAGAGCTGAAATTTTGGGAAATTGATTTTATTTTTTCCTGGCTCTATTCATTGTAGGATTTCAATATGAACTTCACCTTTGCGTTGCCAGTTTCTCTCTACTACATGATGGTGCTTTCAGATTTACTAACTGGTATTGTTTAGTCTCCGGGCCACCATCATCAACTTTATTTTTTTCAATGGGCGCCATATTGGATTATTTTGTTTTGAATAAATAGGAAAATACAAAGTTGATGATGGTGGCTGGGAGACGAGAAGTTAGTTAGCATATAATGTAGTAGAGAAAATATGGCGATGCAAAAGTGCAGTTCATTTTGAAATCCAAGAATGAATAGAGATAGAAAAAAATAAAATCAATTTTCCAAAATTTCGGTAATTTTTTTATATCTCCGGACATACTTGGAATTTCGAAACTTTCTAAACGTCATATTGATAGTTAGTTGAATGCACAACTTTGCCCCTATTCAACCATCTTCGTATCTCTTAAAGTTTCCGAGACCCCAATGGTGAGGATTGAATTTGAAACACCCTATATAGGCCATGTGAGTTGTTACAGTATTCGGCTATTAGTCTAACGGTGAGCGTTGGTCTCCGTGACTGCGATGTTGCCAAATGTCATCCTTTCATAATACTCCCATATGTAACGATTCGATAAACAACCTGTATAGGTACTTATAATTATTGTCTTGCTGAAGTGTGTTTATATATTTGTTTTAATTCATTTTTAGAAAGGCAGATACTGAAAATAGTTTTTTGAAAAATGAAAAAGATGGAGATTCGTTAGATAAACTTAATCTCAAAAACAGGAATGTTGAAAATACTGAAATGAAGGCACTTTGTGTTTATTGTGGAAAGAAATTCAGGTATTGGAATAGTGTTTTCGTATTTTTTTAAAACAACCCACTTTCTATCGGTATTATCATGAGTAATATCACGATGTTCTGAATATTCGAGATAATTATGTTTCTTCATTGTCACCACGAGTCCATCACGGAGAGTGGTGTTTCTGTACGGCAACACAATTGAGTTAACAATGAAAGACAGAATTATGAGAAGATATTCAGAACAGAGTGGTATTTTGCTAGACTATCTCACGTTCACGAAGCATACAAATAAGCATTTATTATAAATGAAGTGACTCATTCTGACAAGTACAGCCATAATTATGTTATGCCAAACTGACAGACTTTGCTTCGCTAACCATGGTTACATCCAGACTTTGATTTGAATCCATGTTTACATCATTGAAAACATGAACGCTGTCCGACCAATCAGAATTGAAAGACAGCTCATGTTTTCGCGATAAGCATACATTGTCTCTGGCTTGTCTGTCTCTCCAGTCCAGCCCCTCTCCTCCACCTTTTTCCAAACCACGTGACCCGAATAGCCAATCAGAGGCCAGCATTTGGTTGGAGGCCACGCCCACTACGTCACGGAACACCACTGAGATGTTCGGTGACATTTACGTGGTGTTCCGTGACATAGTGGGCGTGGCCTCCAACCAAATGCTAGCCTCTGATTGGCTAGTCGGGTCACGTGGTTTGGAGAAAGGTTGAGGGGAGGGGCTGGACTGGAGAGACGGACTACCTACTTATATTCATTATGAGTGAACATTGCGATAAGAACCACCGTTTTTGTTTCCAGAACACCTTCAAAACTATCCGTACATATGAGATTGCACACAGGGGAAACTCCTTATCAATGCTCATACTGTGATGCTAGAATGACAACAAGAAGTCATCTGGTAGTGCATGAAAGAACTCATACTGGTGAAAAGCCATATGTTTGTAATATTTGTAGTAAGGTAGGTTTTGTTTAGATGTATGACACATTGATATTCATCATACAGGGCGTGGAAAGAAATTCTGAATTGAGAAAGCCCATTCACGAATCTGTGATTAGAGATCTGCAAAAATAAAAATTTCCATTGTTCAAGTTTGAACCCTTTGATTGGGTATGACATTATCTAAAAGAAATACTTTCAGACATAATATGAATATGAAAATAATTGATACATATAAAAAATACATTGAGAATTCGCATTCTCTATCTGATCAAAATATTACTTATTTCTCAGTATATTCAACAGAAAACAACTACTATACGTCCATTAAAATGTTGATGACGTGAGATTTGACTAGTGATTGAATTTTATTGTTTTCAAGGGTTTCGCACAATCAAGTGTTCTTGGTACTCATAAAAAGATACACACAGGACGGACAGAACAGTGTTCGTTGTGCTCAAAAAAGTTTTGCAGGCCTTCAGAACTCAAGCAGCATATGAGAAAACATACAGGTAATAACAGGTTGATGAATGAACTTATATCATTCCATGAAGAGTTTCCTAAGGACTTCTTCCAAAGATTTGGATATTTCATTTCAGCAATGAGAATACATAAATTGACAGCGAATTTAATAATCCACTCCTATTTCAAAAAATGTACTGGTGACGAAGGTCGACGAAAAAGATTAATATGCACTTCGACGAAAAACTGTTTATTGTCTCGCCTGATTGATAGCCGAGGCCAGCCTGATTGCTAGCCTCGGGTGTGGCCTCGGCTATCAATTTGCAGACTCGACTATAATAGACGGTTTTTCGTCCTTGGTACATAAATATAACTTTTGTTTTACAAATATTTCAGGTGAAAAACCATTCTTATGTGAATACTGTGATAAAGCTTTTGTACAGAGAAGTCACCTAGTGGAACACCATTGGACTCATACTGATGAGAGGCGTTTCAAATGTGAATTCTGTGAAAAGGGGTTCAAACAAGCAGGGACACTTAAATCCCATCTCAATATACATTTAGGTAATATTTATAAGAAATGATTATACATCTTTTATACAGGGTGTTACAAATTCGTGGCTAAGCATGGGGATCTCGGTAACCATAAGAGATACAGAGTAGGTTAAATTAGAACAAAGTTGCACCATTTCATGCTCAACAAAATGTTGCTGTGAAATTGGAAACATTCCATTTCCTTCCAGAGATATCCGGAAATCATTTTTATTGAATACTCAGTTTATTTGACGAGATATTTAAAAATGAATATTGCTTCATCATTGCCACTTTTTCTACTCTACAAAATGGAATTGTCAAATTGGAAATCTGACGTTTCTTCTTGGAGCGGCCATCATCAACTTTATTTATACGGACCTGGATTTTTCATTTAATTTTTTGATAGTTTTAGATAGAGTCCCTGTATGTATAATTCCCTGTATATATTTGTCAGCAAACGTGTCAAATACATACAGGGACTCTAGTTTTAGACATTGATATGATGGTGGTGTACCAAAATTCATAAAATGTTCATTTCAATGAAAAAATACATTTATATAATAATATGCTTATGAATAAGAGGTACTTATTGAATATCATTAAACTCATCAGAAAGTTTATGTGCCAGAGAAAAAATGTGCATATACTACAGAACTGGATTAATTATAGATCTTTTTTATTAATTATTACTTATAGTTTGTCTATATATTTTAAGAGGTTTCAAAAGATAGTTTTCACAAGGATGGCAAATATGCCTGGTAGGTATATACTGTTAATTAATCATGTTTTCAGGAAAGAAACCATACCAGTGTTCCAAATGCACTTATACCAGTAGGCAAAGTTACTCCCTTCAGCAACACATGTTGCAACATGAAGAGCCAAAAGAGGAGATATCTTACAGATGTGAAATATGTGATTTAACTTTTCTGAATATGGCACTATTCACTTCTCACTGTTCTAACACACATGAAGTGATAACAACTTTTTCTAGTGATGAAACATTGGAAATTGTCCAAGATGACACTACCAATAACCAACAAAGTGAAATACTACAACTTTTATATTAATAATTATTGGAATTATCAATATTGATGCTCTGAATCATTTATTTCTTTAATTCATTGTGAGTCTGAATACCAACTTGATGAACTGTTACATGAGTTACGAATGAGTTATAAGGAATATTTGATATTAAATTCACCATTGGCTCACAAATCTGAATTTAATTACATTCCTTTCCATCATAATAAAAAGTTTTGTCCATTTGGTACTCCATTTGGTTTTGGTACCTATAACCTATATATATAGTTCAACATCATTTTTTAAAAGATTTGAAATTTGATTCTTGATACAAATTTATATTTGTAATATTTTTTGAGCTCTACAAATATTTCAAAATGAAACAAATGAATCTTTTTTCAAATCAAATATTTAGGAGCCAACTGTTAATGTATACCAACTCTGACAATAGTTCTGTAATTGAATTTGGTTTCACTATTTGAACTTGAGTTTTGTTGTTTCATTCATTTCTTCAGGAGAGAATTGAGTCTCCAACCTCATTTCAAGGGAAGTAGAAATCCATGCACATGAAATAAACTGATACACTTTTTTAATAGCAAATACAAACATCTGCATTCAACCCCTATATATTCTCCAATTAAGATGGATATTTCAGTAAAATAATATATGTTATAGGATGTTCCATTACCAATGTACCCTATGACATTAAAAATATCATGACATTATTCTTGTGCTTACTGTTTTCTCTCTTCATGGTTGAATTCCATTTTCCATTTCATCCTTCAGGTATTTAGTTTCTTCTTCTTTTTGGGCACAAAAAATGGATAGTCTGAGAAATCAATATGGACTATTCTTACAGACCCCAATCAAATTTTTTAGTGGGTTAGAGAGACATGTCTTAAGGTTTTCAATCCAAATGCAAATCAATCTACATAATTATGAATACTTCAGTGAGGTAATATACCTAATCATAATACAAAAAAATGGCACAGAAAAACAATACCACTTCAGTAAATATACAAAAATATACCCTAAAGACTTGTGGTGAATTCATTTGTATAATGAGGATATTCATTACTATTAGTTAGAGATTCCCATTCCTGTTCATGTGAATCAAACTCATAAAGGCTGAGAATGTTTTTTCTGAGTTTGATCATTCTTTTTCTCCTGGCCAAAAAATAAACCTGAAAATGCAAGTGAAAATTCACTTTGAAGAGATATCAGAAGAAAACTCTTGGTATTACCAAAACTGAAAGTATCATCACTAAGAATAGCACAACTAAAGGAACAATCAGATATCTGTTGTCATCTAATACAATTGATTTTGGTGTGGTGGATGTAGTTGTGACTATTGTAGAATTTTGATATAAATACATCATGAAATAACATCATTTTGCCCTCCAAAGGCAAAGTGTGTCTTAAGAAACTACATAATTTTTAATTTATAATAAATAAACTCTCCAAGTATCAACAAATTGAAGCCACCTTACAACCTGAACATAACCAACAATAACAATTCCTTCTTCTCTTATCATTAACTTTAAATGGTTGTGGCCTTCCTAGGCTTGCTTGGCCCAAGGATTATAAACTCCCAGAGCACTGAGTTCGTCAAGGTCTATAAAAAAAGAAGTAAAGATGACAAGTGAAGTGACTGTGACGTGTGACATCAATAGAGTCCGGAATAGAGATAAGGGATAACAGATAACTTGAAACTTCTCATATCTGTTTTTTTATTACATTTTACATTTGTGTGATTGTGAGATTATTGTGTGTGATTTTCAGTATTTAGATATTAAAAGAGATGTTAAAAAAATCAAATGGCTGATACATTTTTTGATTTCGATACGTCTTTGAATGTGAGTAAAAAACTTGAAAAAATATGATACAAAGCTGTACACTTCAGCATTGCCCTCTTCCATCAAATGCGTATTTAATAATTGTTTTTGTCTTGATTCTTATGAATAATAAACTTTCATGCTGGTCTATGTAGTTTTCTTTAATGTTACTTCTATTTTCAATTTTTGTACCTGGCAATTTTATTATAAGAGATATAGGAACATTTCAGGATAGGACCGTTTTTGCGCAGCAAATCAACATAATCATGATATATTTCCTAGAAAATGTTCTATTTGAATTAACTGTAGTAATAAAATTTGTTCATGATCTGTTCCAAGAATGGAGAAAACTTCAATTCTGCAGATCCTGATGAGGATGAATGTTTAGAAAATGAAGAGGAATATGATGCTCTGAATGATGAGACATTTGGTGCACTTGAAGATATATCCATCTTGGATGATTGGGAACAGCAGCATGAACAATTTGCAATTGCTGAGAGTTCTAAAAATTCTGGAAACCTAGGTAAGAAGATAACCCAGAAGATGAAATTTTTTGAAATTTGTATGGAAACTGATTCTAATCTTCCTATTTTCAGACAACTCCATATCCCAAAGAGTTTTAGATGATTCTGAAGATCGCTTGTCTTTATCCAGCTCAGTTTGGTCCTACACACCTACTCCAAAAAATGGTGATGCATTTAACACTTCTATTTTAGCATCCTTGCAGAACTCTTCCAAGTCATTTGTAAGTTTTTCTTTTATGACCCTTCACTCATCAATAATATGTAGATACTAAGAGCAATATGGCATAATGTGAAGTTGTGGTAGTATTTTATTCCAGGTATTTTTATTTGTTCCAGACAAATTATTCAGATCACAACATAGAATATAAGTATATCAATGCTAAAAATTAGGTCATCTTCAATATGTTCATGAAAAGGTGAACATTTCACTAAAAATTGGAATTCAGAAAAAAATCATAACATTTTCAAAGTACACATGGATGGGAGATTCTTCTCCTAAATGTGTTCCTCTGAAGGTTATAGATAATGTGTATATCTCACAATATTTTGTCAGGCAAGAATCAACCCCACAGGGCCCCATTGTTGAAATCTTGAAAAAGAATGAATGATGAATCTGTTCCTCTGATGATACTTGATTTCTCACAATATTTTGTTGGGCAAGAATCAACCCCACAGGGCCCTTTTATTGAAATTTGGAAGAAAAAAACATATCTCTCTAAATACACATGGATGGGAGTTTTCTCTATGAATCTGTTCCTCTAATGGTACTTGATAATGTGTATATCTCCCAATATTTTGTCTGGCAAGAATTAATCCCACAAGGCCCCTTAATGGTATTTGATAATGTGTATATATCTCACAATACTTTGTCCAGCAAGAATCAACCCCACAGGGCCCTTTTATTGGAATTAAAAAAAAACATCTCTTTCAAAATAGACATGGATGGGAGTTTTTTCTATGAATATGTTCCTCTAATGGTACTTGATAATGTGTTTATCTCCCAATATTTTGTCCAGCAAGAATTAATCCGACAGGGAACCTTTGTGGAAATTTTGAAAAAAAACTTTCAAAATACACATGGATTTTAGTTTTTTATATGAATATGTTCTTCTAATGGTACTTGATGATGTGTATATCTCACAATATTTTGTCCGGCAAGAATCAACCCCATAGGTCCCTTTTATTGAAATTTTGAAAAAAAAAACCTCTCTCAAAATACACATGGATGGGAGTTTTTTCTTCTTCTATTAATCTGTTCCTCTGATGGTACATGATAATGTGTATATCTCCCAATATTTTGTCCGGCAAGAATTATCCCCACAGGGTCCCTATATTGAAATTTTGAAAAAAATGATAACTTTTTCAAAATACACATGGATGGGAGTTTTTTTTCTATGAATGTGTGCCTCTATTGCTACTTGAAAATGTGTATATCTGACAATATTTTGTCGGGCAAAAATTAACCTCACAGGCCCATTTTCTGGAATGAAGAAAAAAATCACAACTTTTTCAAAATACACGTGGCTGGTAGTTTTTTCGTTCATGAATATGTTCCTCTGATGATAAATGATGATGTGTATATCTCACAATATTTTGTTGGGCAAGAACTAACCCCACAGGCCCCCATTTTTTTGAAAAATATCTTTCTCAAAATACACGTGGATGGGAGTTATTTCTATGAATGTGTTCCTCTGATGATACTTGATGATGTGTATATCACAAGCCAAGGATTAACCCCACAGGCCCCCTTCTTTGAAATTTCAAAAAAAAAATCGTGATTTCTTCAAAATACACATAAATGGGAATTTTCTTCCATAAATGTGTTCCTTTAACCCCACAGGCATCCTTTTTTGGAGTTTCAAAAAAAAATTCGTAACTTCATCAAAATACACCAGAGGAACACATTCATAGTAAAAACCTCCTATCCACTTGTATTTTGAAGAAGTTATGATTTTTTTTCCGAATTCACAAAATATTGTGAGATATACAGATTATTAAGGACCCTTAGAGGTATACATCAATGGAAAATAGTTTCATCCACGGACATATTTTGGAGGTTATGGTAATTTCATGGCCAGCCATGAGTATGAATTAGTAATAAACGACCATTGGTGGTATGGCGCATGCCTGGAATAATTGGCAAAGTCCTGGCTGGAACTTGTGGCTGGTTTCACACTGATGATAGCCTCCTCAACGATACCCTCCTCACACTATATGGGTTCAAAACGATGTTCCCGAGATGCGCTTCCCGTATTGCTACTACTGTTGGTGGAAATGCCAACAGGGTATGTCATGACGAGCTTACACTGTCCTCTATATCGAGAATCAGTCTGGAGAAATCCCTGAAAATAGGAATGCTCATATTTTAGAATACGCTCTCTTCATTTATAATATTTGCAATGCAGTGTTGCCGCTTCTATCAAAAAGTAGCAACAACTTTTTTATTTCAAATAGAATACCCTGTATTTTATTACACTTTTCAGATTCTCCCTGAAGAGCTTATTCATCGATCGATAAAAGGTGTTCAAAATCGAGATTTTTCAACTTTGGGATTTAGTTTGTGTGGAAACTATTCATTATCCGCCAAAACAGCTCACATATCCCTATTTCAACTTTTGATTTACTATTTACTGATATTTAATCGGAACAGATACAAGGTGATCAAAATTCTGAATCTTGAACCACCCTGTATATGTTCCGATTGAATATCAGTAAACAGTGAATCAAAAGTTGAGATAGGGACATGTGAGCCGTTTTGACCGATAATGGATAGTTTCAACACAAAAAAATCCTAAGTTGAAAAATGTCGATTTTGAACACCCTATATCTCTGTAATCATTTTCGATGGACCACAAGTGTGATGTATCGATGAAATCAGATCTTCAGGGAGAATCTAAAAATGCGATAAAATAGAGGGTATTCCATTTGAAATACCAATGTTGCTACTACTTTCTAGTAGAAGCGGCAACACTGCATTGTCGAAAATATTTTAAATGATGAGAGCGTATTCTAAAATATAAGCATGCACATTTTCATGGACTTCTCCCCACTGATTCTCGATATAAAGATAGTGTGAGCTGACATACCCTGGAATCTGCAAGTTGCTGAACAATCTAGAAATGTCCTTCTTTCTGTAGCGGGAAAATCAGTAACTGTGATATTCTGAGGCTATATTCCGAATTCAACTGGTCAGTACGGTCAGTAAATCCACTGACTGTGCTGAAAATCTGTGTTCCGAAATATAAAATCAAAAATACAGTGCTGTAATTCGGAACACGTTTTCATTCTTTTCATCAGTAGTCAGCAGCAGTTGATCAGCTGGTGAAATTTATCAGTCTGAGTTTCTCGTTTATCTGAACTAAATAAGTTAGCCTCCTGCTTGACATACATTTTGGAAATTCAATATTTAACATGGAAGAGCAATCGGTTCTTGTAGCCTTCATAGTTTCTTCGATTGTTGACGATGACGATTCAAGCTCGAGTGATGAAGAATACTTGGACATTTATGTAATATGGCATTAATAATGATTCATTCAGGACATTTCCGGTTTATTCAGATGTTTACCCAATGCTGCTTCTTCTTTGGTAACCTCTTCTACTTCATACTCCATATTATACTGAGCGTTTGTTATGTCAATAAGGGGTATTTTCTGATATTGAAAATAATATAATTAACAACAGAAATGAATGTTACATTCCTTCCTCCTCTAAAATAATGACAGTTTACTGAAGGCACGCTACCTTTTGATGGTCAGCAATTTCAGCAGAATGTTGAGTCGAAATATTTGGAATGAATAGTATATCTGCTCACAAGCATCTGTCACATTCAGTGATTTTTTTGATTTCGGAATGAAAAATCAGCAGATTCAGTACTGTCAGTTGAATTCGGAATATAGCCTGTATCTGGCCCTGATGCGAAATTTCTTCTTGCTTTAAAACATCTGAAATTAAACTTGGAATATATTCCGCATTACTGATCTCTACCCTTTGATACTCAACAAAAAGTTCACCTTGTTGCTCATAGACACCGCCACCTACTTAATAGAGTTTATGACTTCATCGCTCTCGTAAGGATGGTTCATCTTGTTGGTGTAAATAATAAAGAATCATACTGATGGAATATAGTGCTAGTGAGATTGCTAGATTTTATAAAGTAATGTATGCACTCTATTTATGTAGAGGCTGTTCCAAATTGCTTGATTTTGTCAGTTTTCCCTATTCTCATGACAGGTAGAGATAAACTGACTTTAAGGGATCTAGAGCTCGATTTTTGTGAAACTGTAATTGGTGAAAACCGCACTTCGATGTCTCTTAACTTTTTTCTGCAATCGGCTCAAAAGTCGTCCATTATTGTTCCAAAATAAGCTCTTGAAGTTGACGTTTCAATTACTCACACAATAAAATGATTAGTATATATGTTGCTAGGCAACACTTTTAGTGTCTAGTAGCTAAAGTTGAAGTTTATCTACTAGGAACTAAAAACGTGTCGGATGACAGCTGATATATGATAGCTGCTTTGACACTGAGATGCTCAAGTGGCTCAAAATAGTGTTATTTTCACTTATATTTTATCAATTAGATATCAATTATTTCGATTGCAGGAAAAATAGCATGTTTCATTCGGATCAAAAGTGTCTGTATGACTCGCAAATATCGCTTGTTAAACAAAGTGCCACATTAGATCCTAGGTGTTGTTCTATCCGTCATTCGGTTGCCCCCTTACGAGCAACCCTCAGAAGTCTTCGAGAGACTTGTGCAAGCAAGGAATGACGGGGGCCTTACCTTTTAACGTGTGATCCCAAACATTTAATGAAACAATGTACTAATTTTTGATATTTTTCAAACGGTAAAAACTTACTCTATCAATAATTTCATTAGCAGCGATTTTAATATTACGAATAATACTTGTTGTACGCTCATCTTCTTCTGGTGTGTCTATGCAACTTGCAATTTACCACGGCAATGCGCACGCACTGAGAACTGAGTGAGAGTGGAGAGTGGGACGATCTTTTATTTTAGGACGTTGTGCAATAATCACGGTTGTCACCGCTGTTGCCAGCGTTGTATGAATTTCCTAATGTGCGTACGTACAATTTGGAAATTTTTGAATTCACTAGATTACTTTCTCATCAACTGGAATTTCGGGGATGGGAACCTTTTGAGGTACTAGAATATCTCTCAATTTATCTCTGTGTTTTGATTTCAAAAAATTGCCAACTTAGTGAATATTTACTAATTTACTTGACCGCGAAGTGGAATGGAACATTTAAAAGACTTGCAGTTCTTTCTTGGAGACGGTGTTATTGGATTATTTTTTGGAACTGGTACAAAAGTGCGCCTATACAAGGTGTTTTTGAAATTAGTGCACATATTCAGCACATTTTTTTGTAATTCTTCTAATTAACGAGAAATTTCATCCCAAAAATGGAACAAAATACGAGCAAGAAATCAAGCACGAAACTTTGAAACAATTGAAATGATTGTACTCCTCGTGATTGTGCCTACCGCATGGAAATTTGAATAGAGATGACGTCAGATTTGCTACAGTGTAGAACTTTGGGTGGAAAAAGGGGTCTAACCTCAAATTTTATTTTGATCCCTGGATTTTTTTTGTTAGTGTCATTCGATAGTGCACTTTTAAGCTTTCTCAGTGTTTGAAATATTTGCACTTATTTCAATGCCACCCTGTATATCCGGGAAAAAAAGTACTAACTTTTTTCCCATAGGAAAAAAGTGGATTATGAAAAGTGGCATTTTGTAACCTGTCAACAGAGGATGAAATGTCGAACCTTTTTCCCCTTCACAAAAAAAAGTTTTTGATTTTTTTTTTCAAGAAATATTCAATTCAGTAGATGACAATAAATCTTCTACAAAACAATTATTTCCAGATTGAAACACATGATAGTTCAGTTAAATCGTTTTCTGACCTCGACAATGTCAGGCCTCTGCTACCTGCTCAACCTAAGAAAATTTGTACAGTGGAAGAATTGGAGAAGAGCCTGATTAATTCATCAAAAAACGCCATAGCCCCACCTCAGCAGCAGCAGCATCCACAGCTGGTTCAACAGCAAGGGCAACCGCTTTTGCCTCGCCCATTGCTCCCACTACCACCTGGTACTCTCCAGGGGCATTCATATCATCCATTATTGCAGGTGAATACAGTGTGACCCACTAAGAGCATCAAGAAATGTACATAGGGTGAGTCATTAGTGTGACACACTAATGACTCACCCTGTATAATTATTAATAATAATGATATTAGAAGAAGAAGGAGAAAAAGAAGAAGAGTATTTCTGAAAGCATAGGTCCAAGATCAGGATGTCTATCATGAGTTGCGTTGTATTCGTTCCATTCTGGTAACGGTGGTGAACAGAATGACGTTTACAAACAAAACGAGGAACTTCATGACCTGGCATGAGAGAATTGACATATTATAGGCTAGCAGACCTTGGGAACGTTGTTTTGCTGTATACATTATTTCTACAATAGATTTTTTCAGTATAATATTCAAGAAACTATTATTATTTTATTTTCTACTTCTCGTTTTAGTTATGCTATCTATAAAAGCGTGTTTCTTTAGTTTTTCAAACTACCATTTATTTCAACTTCTTTTTAGTTCACTTGAATTTCCCAATGTTGACGAAAGAATCATAATATCCGACTCCTAAAACCCCAGAAGGAAATGTTGAATATAATCGGAACATAATTACAAAACTCGTCCGCAATATTGGATCTACCATCTTGAATTCTCTAATTTTGACGAAGGAATCATAATTTTTGATCCCGAAAACGCCCACTCACAAATTTTGAATAGAATCGGTATATAATTACAAAACTCGTCCGGTATATTGGTTCCACCGTCTTGAATTTCCAAATTCTGCCCGAATTCTCCAATTCTGACGAATGAATTATAATCTCCGACCCCGAAAACCCCCAGATACCAATTTTGAATAAAATCGGACCATCATTACAAAGCTCTTCCGATACATTAGATCCGCCATCTTGAATTTCCTAATAGTACCGGAATGAAGAATATCCTATAACCTCCTCCTGGTTCCAAGCTACCTCCCCACCAATATTAGTATAGTATAGATTATAGAGGTTATATTTATATAATGGGGCTCCGACTTATTTCAATATCATAATAATAGATTGAAAATCAAGATGAAAAAAAAAAAGAATCACTGCATATTTGGAGCAGTCATTGTGGTGCTTGGAGAAGGTTCTGTGAGATCAGGATGATTTATTTTATCTGGAAATGGAGATATAAATCCTGTCTTACTTGAAATCTTCATTTTGAGAAACTGCTCATCAAAAAATGATAAACAAGGGTACGTTGAAAAGAGAACTGAACTCCCTTCAAAATAATATGCATCTTGACCCCCTTTTCATATGAGATTTTAAGGGTTGCATCTACCCCTCCTAGGGAGTTGAACTAAGAGAAAATATGCTTTTCAAGTGTCTTTCTTAAAAATGAAATTGACGTGTCTTTTCGATTCTTCATATCATTTACTGAAAGGAAGATATTAAGGGTGGGAAGTTTTCTAAGTGACACGACATGTTTCGGAAACCGATCAACAGGAAATATATAAACTAGGGTACCATTGGAAAGAGAATTGAACGCCCTTCAAAATGATGTGCCACTGGACCCCCTTTGCCATTTGAGATTCTAAGGGTAACATCTACGCCTCCTAGATGGTTGATCCAAGAAGGCTATAACTAATCATTTCAAGTGTTCCCCTTGAAAATCGACCTGTTTTTCCGATTTCTCATATTCACTGGAAGAAAGATCAATCAATCGTTTATTGGTGTTATTATACAATAAATGTATTTACACGAGTCAAATGTCATATACATAGAGGGAGAGTGACTTCTCCATTAAAAAAATCATCTAAAATGTCTTAAAAACAACACATTTAACTTCGAAACAACTGAATTATAAGGAGTGAATTATAAGGTGACAAAATGACAGTTAAAAAACTCATCTAACGCATGAATTGGCACAACAGTGCAGTTTAATTGCTGAGGATGCTCGACTCTGTTCCTAGCGTGTTCGCCAAAACGTTGAATCCAGTAGATTGTGTATTTTATCTATTTCTATTATACATTTTTAATCTGTATCAAGATCTATGTTGTTTGTAAATGGGTACTGTACAGCGCATCTTATTTTGGTTGAGACTGCTAGGTTTCTCGGTTGTTCTCTGGGTTGAAAAATCATATCTTGAACGATTGGGTCATCTTTAGTTCCACAACAAACTAGGACAGGAACGTGAAAACCGCAAGTCTTATCAGTGCCGGATTTAGGGGGGGGCTATGGGACTATCAGCCCCCGGCGGTGAATTTCAAGAGGCGGTAGAGAAAAAGAGGAAAAGCAAGCAGCAATACAGTCGTTGACTGGTCGAGATACTGTTTTTGTGAAAATCATAACATGCACTAATTTAGCGTCAGCTGTGTCTTGGCGTTACCATCGATAATCTCGATGGTAACGGTCTTGGACGCTACAATACAAAAGCGGCGGCTGTACATACTTTTATTTGATGATGAGAAGAAAAACCGCATTCTACTCGTCTAACTCAATAACAAAAAAACAAAATCAGAGTGGTTGTTCTTGGTATTGTTGGTAATGGTACTAATTAATAATAAATAAATCGAAACTTGAATTTAAAAAAATGAGTGAAAAAGGTGGTGCATTCTGGAAACGGCAGAAGATTAATAAACAAAATCAGTAAGAAATGCCCTAAAATACATTCATTTTTTCTAAATTCAAATGAGACAGAATCAGAACCGATAGAACCGTCTCCGGGAAATTCACGATCTTAAGACAGGAATGGTAAGTTTTATTTATTTTTAAATTCAATACGCGAAAAAGAAGAGTTAAAATCTCAAAAATAGATGATCAAAATATGAACACGACTAAGCGTTGTTTTAGGGTTAATCACAACAAATTCAGTGAATATTGGCAATTACTGAGCATTTTTTTACTATCCCTGATGATTCGTAATGCCAGTGGTTAAAGGTCATTCTCAACAGAGTGAAAAACTACCTTAGGAATTCCATGGTAGAGGATATATTGAATATCTTATCAATTACAAGTATTAACAGTGAGATGTTATCAAATCTGAATTTTGATGATGCCATTGACGACTTTGCATCAAAAAAATCAAGAAAATTATTTTAGTATTCATCTGAAAAAAATATCTGTTGTTTGTTGTTATGTTTAACGTGTGAGGTAAATATAATTTGATTCGTTGTACATAATGATTCCATGTTATTGTTATATACTGTAAAAAAGCAGTGAAAGGGTGATTTGAATTTTGAAACTGACAATTGAAAATTAAATATTTGGCGGCGGCACATCGGCATCGTAAAACTTAGCCCCCGGCGTAAGGGAGTATAAATCCGGCACTGAGTCTTATAAAATACTCCTGAACCGGAACTCCGTAGTAGAACTTTCATCTCAACCCCGTATTGTAACATCTGGTGCCCCACGTTGGGCGCCAGATGTTACAATACGGGGTTAATCTCAGGGGTTGAAATGAAAGTTCTACTACGGAGTTCCGGTTCAGGAGTATTTTGTTACAGATGTCCGTTGCGATGGTGAAATATACAGGGTTGATCGGTGAAGATTTATCAGGAAGCTATAATGAATACTTATGTTAGGACTACTTGTCGAAATATTGTGGCAAATCATTATACTAGTTAGTAAGGCTGTACAAAAATCACAAAACTCACCTATAATGAATACAGTTACAATGACCAAATATCAGGAAACCTGGTATTTGCACTTTCTGACCAAAAGCACTCACAATGAATCCGAAATAAATGTTAATGGACCACACAATTATGAAGGTTCACTGATAGCGAATCATTCCTGCGTTTCCAAACTTCGAGAACTTGAAAACTACTTTTTGCGATATAGACGAGGTGCGCGAGATACCTATAGTCTTTCCTACATAGGGAATTTTGGGACCACTTAGGCAACCCGTAATTCATTAATTTGTACGCGGTGTGGTATACCACCAGGCGAAATTCCTCCCACCTAATTATCATAAAGCCAATAGGTACACAGTTCACTAGGTGCTGGAAATAAACAACAGCCCTAGGCATGCTGGCGTTTACCGCTTCTACAACAAAAACACCGTGTATATAAAAACTCCTAAACGCGGGGACTCCAAAATACGATGGTAAACGAAAAGTGGTAGGACGAACACAGATATCCGAACATACATTTAGGTCGTATACGAATTAGGTAATTTTCAATGATGGACAGGAAAAATGGTTTTGCTACAACTTTATAACAACCGAGAAACCTGGATGTCTCAACCAAAATGAGATACACTGAACACTATCTACAACTAATGTAATGTAATATAACCGTCTGTAAATAAACATGAATTATCTCTCCTGAACTGGTACTGGTGGGGGACGTTTGCACGTCAGCAAATAGTCCCTAATGGTACCTTTATGCAAGCCCCATGGTGTTTTTCAATGACTGATGTGGTTCGCTTAAGAGAGCTGGCTAACATCCTTTTCAGGCACCGCCCATCACAGTTCTCCTTCAGAGTTTTTCGGCTGTGTTTTGTAGGCTAGTAATGTACTCACTACCATATTCGCAGTGGCAGGCCTGCTAGCAATCCTCGTTAACCCCCGTTAGAGAACGAGATCCACTAAGCTGCTGGCCCGCTCTCGCGCTCAGCTGGTAGTTTTCCAAACCCACCTACATACACCGACATACTTCATCTCTGATGCTCACAATCACAACCACATCATCATCTCTTTCTGCGTGTTCTGTGTAGGCTTTGTTACTAACAGGAGCAGCACTGTTAATTGGAATGCAACATCGAATCGTGCAGGACTATCCCCAGCCGATGCTCCGAAACTTTACAATATTTAATTTGTAAATATAATATTGAAAAAAAGTTCCTTGCTTGTGCTGGGAATCGAACCCACGACCTAGCGGTCGTGAGACGTCTCTCTCTTGAAAGTCATCGTCATTTTGTTCTCAGCAATCGATTCCGAATACCAGAATACCACCTCCGGGCTTGCCGCCGATGGGCATCCCGCCGCCTGGTTTACGTCACCTGAACCCCGCTGTGCTGCCGCCCGGCATGCTGAGACTGATGCCGCCGCATCTGTATCCGCCCCGTCCGCCGGGGTTCGTGTTTCCTCCGGGCGGCCATCCGAATCAGTTTCCGGTGAGTATGGAGTTGTACAGATCGTTCACCGAATCGTTACATTTTTTCATCTCTTGGGGACATGAAAGGATATTTCTATAATAATCAATATAAATGAGTAAGACTCAGGCTATAGTATACAATTGTTTTATTGAATAGCAACTCGAACATTTTCAGCACTAGGCCATCAACAGGTGAGTATCTGAAAAGTTATTTTTTCTTTTACAGGTACAATATATGTATTGTTAGGTTGACTATTGAGACATGAATGCTTTCAGTTAATATCTATTGGACCACACTCAGACAAGTATCGAATACAACTGTGTCATTTCTGCTATCTGATTCACATTCTTCAACTGTTACTTTTATATAACAACCCTGACTAATATCTCATGATAAATTCGAATATCATACCAAACAGGATGGTTCGAGTAAAGTGCTACTATGAATCATCATAATAATACCTGGTGAACATGATAACAATGTTGATAGTAATACTAATAATATCGATTTGAAACTAAAATGAATCGATCGATGAATCAGTGATCTCCTACAACGATTCGACTCTAACAATATGAAAAAATGTGAGGTTAAAATTAATTTGTTAATGTCAGAATAAAATCGTTGAATAAATCAAAAACTCACTTGTCATATAGTCTTGCAGAGAATAAGCATTAAAAACAATTCATTTACATTTTTGTTACAATAATTAGTAAGTGAACATGATTTTTTCCTCTAAAACAGGTGAGTTTTGTAGAACTGTCGTTGTGGAAGAGTTTGTCTGATATTGCTTTTTGTTTTTCTCTCACTTTACTGCTCTCATGTAGCTTAATGCTGATGATGAAGGTTTGAAGTTTCGAAACTTGTTTCCGTGAATTGCGCACATTAAAGTATAATCTTGGTGGAGTAGAATGTATAAATTTCGTCCTGTCCTCTAATTTTTCATTGGCAATTTGATTCATATTCAAAAAATCCCATAAGACGTATTCGAAACCATGAATTAACATTGTAAACAAATCATTGATGACGTTTAGTCAACTTTCTCAAAAGGCACCATCTAACGGCAACTACAGGATTCAAATCCACTCGATTCGTGATTCATCTGAAATAAATGAAAAAACCCTTCATAATGGGACCAATTTCGTTGAATTCCCCTACACCAAACTATAGTAATAAGAGTTTTTTCATAGCGTTACTCATGCTCCCCTCCTTGTTTCATTTCAAGAGCTAGCGCAATTTTTTTTTTTTTGAAATGATTGAAAATTAACTCGAGATTATGAAAACAAATTTTTTGACATATCTTGAAAAACCAAATTCTTACATAATCCCGTCATGAATATTTTTTTCCTAAATCTGTTAGGCAGATAGTTTCCGAGATACCGCCGGCGTCCATTCTTAGTTATACACCCGGTACACATGTTGACCGCAAAAAAATTTAATCTGTCAACAAATAATATCATATCATTGTTCAGCTAGTTTCCCAGCATGTCAGTATAGCTTTGAATAACCTTACTTTAGATAGTGCTGCTATTTCAAATGATATTTAAAACCATATAGAATAGAATTTATTCAAGATAAGATACACCTTTATGACAACAATTCCAATAGCATAACAACACACAGCATAACACTAACTGTTTCTTGATTAAATAATATAGAAAAATAAATATTTAGTTTTTTCTCAAACCGACACAAAAGTCGTCAATTTTAATACCAAAATTAGCTCTTGAATTGACGTTTCTATTACTGACACAAACATAAGTATGTTGCTAGGCAACACTTTCAGTTCCTAGGAGCTAAAGTTCAACTTTAGCTCCTAGAAACTAAAAAGGATGTACTTGGTCATCAAGAATAAACATTGTTATAGTTGGTTATTCGGGTTGGGACGCATACCTGATTTGTTCCCGATTTCGGCAGATTTGGCATTCCATACCCATGCTGGAGATATAAATATACCATATAATAGTTAATTATTTTTGTTTTCATCAAGGAAGCTTTCAAGATCCACATACTTGCTTGATCTGTATTTCATTCATTCTCGGAATCTGGATTGGATAACTTGTTTTTGAATAATCATGGCCGGCAATACTTTTTGTCTCACACAACGATATTGTTTACCTTCATTTTATTGACGAGCCAAACACAGTGGAATATGGAGAGAAATAAATAATCGATATTATTATTGTTGATATGCTCACTAACCTAATCTTTATTATTATAATAAAGGTATTTTAATAATCTGTCAAGTAAGTCACATTGGTGGTAAAACATTGAATTCATACCCCTACTGGTAAGCATTCTGGTTAGGTTAAAATTACGAGATCTAGATAATCTGGCGATAAACCCTTCAATAGTTTGAAGATAAAAATTGCATTCCTCTGATTTGAAGTAGTATTGTACCCTGTTATTTTAGTTTGGATGGGCAACTCTGATGCTATTCTTGAAAATAAGTATAGTTTTTTTATATCTTATTTTTTTATCATGTTGAAGTGTTATTTTAACGAAAGAGTTTCATCTAACATAACACCTAAGTGTAACCATTGTTGCATTATTCAAGTTAAGTTCAATGAATGAATGAAAACATAATAATGAAAAATGAGAAAATTCAAGGGTGGTGCCGCTCGAAGTGGGTATATGTCCGAGAGATATTTCTGAAATAGTCTTTTCAAATGGACTTTAACAATCCTCAGATATCTCTTCCTATAAAAAAAAAAAATAATTTCACATTTTTCGTTCACACAAAAACATTTACAAAATCTTATATGGGTCACTCTGTAAACGTTTTAAAACTATTTCATGAGAGAAATTATTGTTTTTATGGGACAGAGTTTTTGTGTCAACCCAATTCTTTTTTGTTCCATTTTTGATGCTGTTCCGTTTTTATCATGCTTGTTCATAAATGTTAATTTGTTATTGAATAAATATTATAGTATATGTGAAGTAGTTTCTCCAGCGGGTTCTGGAGTTTCTGTAATGATATTCTGATATTTCAAATCCATTATTAGTAACAATTTTCAGTGTATCGAGTGATTCAGCAAAGAAGAGATTTGCGTATGTATTCAAACATTTTCAAGTTTCATCTTAAATCTTGTTGAGATTTTGGAAGTCTTGAAAAGCACATTTTTGTCGTGTTATTCCAATCGAATCTATAATAATTGTAGACTCATGATCTAGTACATAATAACCGAGATGAATTTGAAGTGCAAATGTAATAAAATAGAAGTGAATATGTAATATACAGGGTGTTTCACAGGTAAAGGGAAATATTTCAATGGTAGGTCACCAAGGTGGTTCTGAAAATACCATATTTGATAAGGTCTTAGAGTTTTCATAACGAAGATACAGGGCAATTTATCGATTTCGAATAATTATTCATTCGTCTATAATTATTGAACTACCCGGTATATTTTTCTGAAATTTGGTATGGAGCTTAAACTTGGGACGTTGAATGCATTCACCTATCGGGCGAAGTGTAATCCAGGTACTGCTTCAGGAAAAATTCACATTTATTCGAAATATTGAAATAACACACTGTATGTAATAATTGACAAAGTTCATCAAAGGAATCGTGAAGAGGAGGAAAAACTGAACTGGATTTGATGCTTTTCGTTTTCCCGCCACCAATTCTCATCGTAACAATCATAAACAGGAAGCTAAAAGTATGTCAATTTCAAGAGTATTAAAATTATGAAACCACATTCAATTATGATTATTTGATATATTCTTGTTCGAAAGAACTTACTTAGTCTCACAGTCTATATAACAGAGATACAGGGTGAATTATCACTCGTCCATAAGTATTAAACTACCCATCGCAGTTATATTTTCTCAAATTTGGTATTGAGCTTACTTGGGACGATGGATTCATTGACCTATCAGGCAGAATGAAAATACAGGATCAGCTTCAGGAAAAGTCTCATAGTCTTTATAACAGAGATACAGGGTGAATTATCGAATTATAATTCCGCCTGATAGGTTGATGAATCCATCGTCCCAAGTAAGCCACATACCATATTTGAGAAATTTTAACTGGGTAGTTTTATACTTATGGACGAGTGAAAAATTATTCAAAACCGATAATTCACCCTGTATCTCCGTTATAAAAACTGTTAGACTTAGTAAGTTCTCTCGAGCGATTTTTTGACTGAAATATATTGAATTATCATAATTGACACTGGTTTCATAATTTCAATACTCTTCAAATTGACATACTTTCAGCTTTCTGTTTATGATTGTTACGATGAGAATTGGTGGCGGGAAAACAAAAAGCATCAAATCCAGTTCAGTTTTTCCTCCTCTTCACGATTCCTTTGATGAACTCTGTCAATTATTACATACAGTGTGTTATTTTAATATTTCGAATAAATGTGAATTTTTTCTGAAGCCGAACCTGGATTTTCTCTTCGCCCGATTGGTGAATGAATTCAAAGTCCCAAGTTTAAGCTCCATACCAAATTTTAGAAAAATATACTGGGTAGTTCAATACTTATAGACGAATGAATAATTATTCGAAATCGATAAATCGCCCTGTATCTCCGTTATGAAAACTCCACGACCTATCAAATATGGTATTTTCAGAACCACCTTGATGACCCCTATCTACCATTGAAATATTTCCCTTCACCTGTGAAACACCCTGTACAAACAAAGTTATCATTGTGAGACTAAATTCTCTTGATGTGTCAACTTTGATTGTATCCAAACACTATAGGTGTGTGTTTTTCATTCCAACATTTTGTCAAGGGCATGAATCGAAGAATCCACCGAACTGTTGCAAAATTCCGATGGATTGTTGATGAAAATCCATCAAACTGTTGTTGATAAAATTCGTACTTTCAAATCGCTTTGCCAGAATCCAGCGGTTGAGAGGAAACTGACATGGCAATTGACACATTTAAGGTATAATTATTGAAAATATTGAGGAATTTTCGAATTTTGAGATTCTTGAGAGATTTTAGAAGATGGACTAAAGAGTGTAAATCAATAAAATTGTATCAGCCTCTTCTAATTCTGAAGATACATGACTACTGACACACAATGAAATCCGTTTTTTCATCAATGTGTTGTATAATCCATTGTTCCATCGTTCCAGCATGAATTCCATCAGAACAATTGCTGACGTCACGACGAAAAACCCCATCTATCAATGCGCACTTCAATGGAATGAAAAACACGCCCTATATCAACAAAACATTTTCAAAAGTTTGAAAGATCGTTGAAGGATTTTGAAGAAATTTTTAGATAATTTGATTTAATCCTGAATATTTCTGTGAATGAAAACATAACTAAAAACTTGAATTTAAGTAATTCCTAAAGTATCGCCTATATAAAAAATTATTTCCTTTGTAGTAAGTACATCATCAATTTTTCATTCATGGTTTCACCCAAATATCTCGTTCAATGAATTTTTTTTAGAATAATTTCAAATACATGTGATGAAGATGTTTTCTTTGTTTTTGAATTTCTATACAGGGTGATTCAAAATTCGATGTTAATATTTTAAGGACGTATTTTTCGAATCAAAATAAGACTTCTATATATACATGTTTCCTAAAATGCACTCCATTTCGGCCAATAAAAGTGAGGACCTCCGTCCAACCCCCCCACAACTGGGTTTACATAAATTTTGAAGAGAATGAAATAAAGTGTCTAAGAGGACGCGGGCCTGCCAATTTTCAGAAGATTTGATCCGTTTTAGTCACAATTTCAGAATATCTTTTTTCTTCACCTAACTTACAGTGGCTGTAGCTTGGAGGGGGTGAATTTTAGGGCACATGTTTATATGAAGAAAAAGTCTCATTTTGATCCCAACAATATGTCCTTAAAATAGTTACATCAAATTTGTAATCACCCTGCATGTAGTGTTGATAAGATCGTTCCATTATATCATCTGACGAAGCTACTGTGTTAGCGAAACATGTCGTGTGTTTGAGAGTTTTGTGGAAATCTTATCGTTTGTGAAGTTTTTACAAAAGAAGAATTGATTGCCAAACTACGTTATGAATTTGAACATTTGAGAACAAAGCTGACGAAATCCAATAAATTGCAACGTGATATAATATCATTGAATGGGGTTTTCAATATTCAAAATTTATCAGTGAAATCTGAATGCAGCAAAAGGTGGAAAATCAGAATAATCTTTATGTTTTAAACTTTATCATTCGGGTACAGTGTTACATACAATAAGGAACTAGCTAGAAGTATATCCATATGTATATTATGTCATATCAAAATGTTGTTACATGAATTCTTGTCATTTTCATAACTGTTGTTCTGCATAAAGTTCCGTATCGCCGAAAATTGAAATGGGTGTTTATACCCTATTTCTATTTTCCATATAAGACAATGATTGATTTGACAGAAAATCTAACCTCTTAAATCGTATCTGGTAATCATGTACTACTAGGGAAATTGAAAAGACGAGGAGCAGAATATATGTCGTATTCTTCTATTCACTCAAAACCATTGTAATATAGAAAGTAGAAAAGGACGAAAGTTCAGCTGTGTCCGAATTCTTATCTAACTACTACCATCCAGTGACTCAAATTTGGTCCCATCGTCATATTTTGGGCCGATCCGCCCTTAGCCTTAGCCTATGTCCCAATAGTTATGACTCACCCTGTATAGGTATACATTCATGATTATGCCGGTCTTATGGTACGCGCTCTTCCGTGACGCGAGTTTGCTGTCCTACTCCCATCCCAAAAAACGCCTAACGGACCTATAGAAGTTATCACTTCAGAAACAAAAATCCGAGTGCGAACCCTCGATCGTTCCAGGTAAACCACCCCTTCAACTTCCCGCCGCCCCCGCGCAACATCAACAACATGCAGCAGCCGCCCCACCACGGCCCCCACAGTCCCCACCACGGCCACCACAGTCCCCATCACCTGCATCACCACCCGCAGCAGCAGCAGCAGTTCCAGCAGCAGCGGCAGAGGCACGACAGTACCGGCTACGGTAGACAGTACGAGGACGATCACGATCAGAGGGATCACGATCAGAGGGACGAGTACGACGGACTGATGTCGATGAGGGAGAAACAGTGGTTGCTGAACATCCAGATGCTGCAGTTGAACACGGGAACGCCGTATTTCGACGACTACTACTATACGGTGAGTGGGCGGTTGAATACAAGAATTTTTTTTTCTACAACCGTTTTGATAACAATTTGCCAAGTGACACTTTTTTTGAATGGGTTGCGTGCAAGAACTGTCAGATGACCGACACTGGAGGCAAAACATTGAAACAACGTCACTTTACTTATTTGTTTACAAGTGATCGAAATAGTTTCCCACAATTATTTTGGCATATGAATCGTATTTTTCCGCTATTCATCAATTCGCTCATGCCATCACATTGTGCTGTTGTAAAATGCACAAAAACTGCAGCGGAAGATGAAGCAAGTACCTACTATAGTCACTCACATATAGTTTTCATTTTTGAAATTTGGTCATTTCTCTGATTTCTCATCGGAATCCCTTCTGCAATAGGAGCTAATAGAAATATACCTGAAATTTCTAGAATAATGCAAGAAGATTGGATTCATGCAATCAATCGGGAGGACTGGTCTAACATGCTGACGATCGTGTGTGTTGTAGACATTTTCAATCTATTAGCAGCATTAGCTTGTATTGCAGAAGTGGCAGAAGGCAGAAGGAATTTTAATAAGAAATGACAACATTTCATAATGATAACTATGTGAGATTACTATTTACCTGAAAAATCATATTCCCTAGTCTCTTGCTGCATTTTTTGTGAATTAATGAATAACGCAAGAAACACGATTCGTATGCCAAAATATTGTGAAAATCTATTTCAACCTTCTGATTCCTCTGTAACCAAATAAAAAAATGAGGTTGTGTTTCAATAATTCACAGAAGAATGAGGTTGTGTTTCAATATTTTGCCTCCAGGGTCGGTCTTCGTGCACGCGACCTATACTGGCCACGTTTATACCGTGTCTTGTTAAGCTGACTAATGAATATATTTTGACTAAATACTCTTGGTCAGTTTGGTATAAACTGTATACTTGGTAAAGTTACCAGCTTGGTTTGGTACCGAAATTTGTTGTGTACCAGGCTAAAATAGTATGATGACCAAGACGGTGTAAACATTTTGGTCTACTTTTGTATAGCCTTCAATTGACTTGAGTGCAAGTGGCAGTTATTTCATTCAATTTCAGCTAATTTCGTATCCTACTAAAAGGTTTTATTCTCAATTTACGAATTCAAGTGGAGTTCCACAACCTAACCTCAAAAAAATAATCAAATCAAAACAAAGTTGGTAACGTTAGTCAACTGAAGATAAATGGTGTAAACATGCGGTCTGAATTTAGTTAGATCTCCTTGGTAAGCATACCAACTATCCATACGGTATAAACGTGGCCATTGTCTGTAGGTTCATCAAAGAGGTATTAAATTCATCTCACTTGATTATCTGGGATTTTCTCTCCTCGTTTCTACAAAATAGAAATATGAGTATCATTTCAATATATTTGTAGTAGGACAAATCAGATGATTTGCCCTAAAATGTCACTGCGTTTAACAATTTATTCTTATCGGGAACCTTAAAAGAAAAATGTAATAGCTTGGTAGTGACACTTTGTTTGAAAAAAAGTTTGAAGAGGAGAAATATGGATATATTGAAAAAATATATTAAAATAAAAAGTGCTCTTCCAATGAAAATGTGTTTGTTTATTTATACAGTTGATTTGTTGGAGTATCATATGGAATACAATACAGTACTTTCAATGCCTTCTTATACAGTGTGTCCATCTAGTGCGTAATTCTTCGATATCTCGAAAGCCATAACCTATAGAGAAAAACTTTGAAGGAAAAACTTTTTCACTTACTGAAGTTGCTCATTTCAAAAATATTTTCAACATTATAGGGTGTTTTATAATAGCGGGACGACTCGGAGACGAGTTTTTTTTAAATGGAACACCCAGTATTTTTTATTCGGAATTTATTCCGCCGAGGTTTACCTTCACATCGCTGTGGAAAAAATTGAATTTGGTTGCGGCGTTGCAAAGTTATAATTGATAAACCAATTTTTACCACTATTATTGAAGAGTCATGTTGAATTGGGCATGGTATTTCCATTCATCCAAATTTTGAAAATATTTTCGGCATACAGTAGTAGCAAGGTCTCACGTATACCAATCCAGTAATTTTGCGACATGTTCTTCAACAGGGTGCTCAATTTTGCATTCAGAATTTTGCAAGATTCAGATGATATTCATTCGAATTTTTCAAATGGAACACCCTGTATTTTCATCCACAAATTCATTCCGACATCTTTCGCCTTTTCATCGATGAAAAAAAAATCGAAATCGGTTGCGGCGTTGTCAAGTTATGAATAATTTCCTTATTTTTACTACTATTTCGGTCATAGTTCTTTCATTTATTCGCGTTGCTACGGTATAATCAAATTCATCCATTGACCATTCATATATTTTTTATAATAGGATCATCTACAGGCTCTCCAAGTTTGAATTCAAAACAGAGTGGATTACTACAAGTTGATCCAAAATGCTACGTTCACAGATTTTTTGCAGGCTATGAATTAATTATTTGAAATACACTTCTATTATTTGTGTAATGATCTGTCAAACATCGCCAAAATCAAAGATATCTTAAATTACCTATATGGAACATTTTTGAAGATTTTTGCGCCACTAAAGATGATGGACCCAGATATTCAATTTATAATCTATGTGTTTGTGAGTATTTCGGGTATTTTTCAGTGTATAATTGTGCTCCAGTGGGTTTTTTGAGAAACTTGATGATAAATAATGGGCTAACGCTCCGAACTATAGAATGTGATTAAAGTTGAAACACTTTGAATTTGGTTCAACTGTTTGAGCAAGCCTTTAGACCACTATTCTGAAGGCCTTCAGACCACTGTTTTAAAGGCAGACGTTGCTCTTGACATGTTTGTTTGTTTCACATAGGTACATATAATTTAAATCATGAGTAACAAGATTACGGAATATTTCAAATTTGGACAATGCACATATCGCAAAATACCTGAATGATCTATGTAGAATCTCGGGTGTCATGTGACAAGCAATATTCCCACACTCAAATCATATAAAGGAACCATGTCTTATAAGTAGCCCTGAGATAGTGATAAACATAAGGAAATTACTCATAACTTGAAAACGCCGCAACCGATTTTGATTTTTCAAGGCGAATGTTGTCGAAATAAATCTGTGATGAGAAATACAGGGTGTTCTATTTGAAAAATTCTAATGAACGTCGTCTGAATCTTACAATATTCAAAATGTAAATTTTAGCACCCTGTAAAGGATCATCTCGCAAAATCACTGTATTGGTGTACGTGAGACCTTGCAACTAGTGTATGACGAAAATATTTTCAAAATTTGAATAAATGAAAATACCATGCAAAATTCAACATTACTCGTCAATAGTGGTAAAAATGGGTTTATCAATTATAATTGCCACGCCGCAACCAAATTCAATTTTTTTCACAGCGATGTGAAGGTAAACCTCGGCGGAATAAATTCCGAATAACAAATACTGGGTGTTCCATTTAAAAAAACTCGTCTTCGAGTCGTCCCGCTTATAGGTTATGGCTTTCGAGATATCGAAGAATTACGCACTAAATGGACACACTGTATAGAACAGAAATTTTGTTGAAACTATTTTTGGAACAAGATCCTCAGATATTTATGAGATAGTTAATTCGACTGAGGATATGTGAGCAGTTGCTACACGGTTCGTACCAAGTTAGATTTTCTAGTCCAAATTTTATCTGAACTTGAATGCAGTTCAATTCAGAAGGTGCTTGGGAAAACTCTATAATGTGTGCCATTTTCGAAATATTTGAGATGAATATGAAATAATAAACAATTCTGGAATAAAATAACAAAACTAAAGTAGCTTGTAGTGTTTGGTTTGGTGTTGATACCTTGATTATCAATAATGTGATTCAACTGGCCATTTAGATTTTGTTTGATACAACATGAATTAGCCAAAATCGCCCAGCAATAAAATACATTCTTTATTTCAATGATTTTTAAATAATTGCATTTGCGAATTACCTTTTAGATATTCAAAGAGAGGAAAACCAAAAGCAATAAAGAAAATATCAATGAGAGGAATATGTATCATCAGAAAAGGCAACACCGCAATAGTGACAGGCAGGAAAATCAAAATACTTTGACGCCAAGAGTGTACACACCTTTACAATTTGAAAATTCGTTGGGGAAACTTCAGGTATGTTCATACCCTTAAGAAGAAAAATATTGAGGATAGAAACACACAATTAGTGTTTCATCAATTATTGTTGAATTTTTCACTTTTTCTTCAAGTGTGGATCAGTGACGGCACCAAGAAAAATCATTGACATGGATATCGTGACGCCAGATAAAGATGGCGATGGTACTCAAGTATCGCGAGATACAAGAAAAACTAAGCAACTTCTGATTGAATTGGAAGCCCTCTATGCGCTTCTTTTGAAGGCTGAAGATATAAATAATCCATTGTATATAAGCAATATGGAGAAATTGAGGGAGATAAAACAAAAGCAAAGGTAAGATTCGTAGGATTTCTATGAAACTATTCGCGAGATTCACGAAGTGGGCGACATCTAGGTTACATAAAATGAACTTCAAACTGGGGGAAAACAAACTGATGTCTATGGATAAAGTGCATAGACTACATTGCATTCGGCTTGCTGTAGCTGTAGTCAAACTTGTCAATGACATCAAGTGTTGGCACTGTTGGTAGTGATGATGGTTGAATTGGTTAATTTTTTTACATTAATAAATTTGTATTAGCTTAGTGAACAGTGAACGGGTGCAAAATTGGAGATAGTTCAAACAATTCAAACTAATTATGACGAGCAAATCAATTAACATATAAAAGAACAGCTACAACATGTTTACAATACCCAGATTGTCCTGGTTTGCATGAACAAATACAAATCCATTGTTCTACATCAGGAGTTCATCTGGACCCCAACTTCAATTTTACTTCATGTGGGGAAGATTTCATCGCCGAAGTTTGTAGAAAAAATGTGCCTTTTGTTGAAGTCTTTTGCCTCACACAAAATCACATGATTAGCACGGAGAACTGCTTCTCCTTCCACTACTGGTCGGCTTTTTCCATGTAAATAGAGCAAAATATCTGCCAAAAGAACATCTACAATAGGCATTATTAGCGGTTTTCGATCGAATATTGCCAATTAATGTCAAGACATTTAAAAACATCACTCTTATCAGTACACAGTACACAAGCTAATGGCACTAATGGGATTGAGTCAATTGAGTGAGGATTAAGTTTGTTTTCCCCCAGTTTTGACATGGCTTTGACATGGAACGATGAAATCCGAGCGCCACCTGGTAACATTGATTCCCGCGAATAGTACGCCTGAAATTGTTTTTTCCAGAATGTATGCACTATTGCTTCAAATTTCAATTTTTTAAAAAAAATATCAGTAATAATCGCTAATTGGCAAAAACACAAATGTGCGGGATTAGTGATCGTGGTCTATCCAGTACTGACGTCATAATCGTTTTTCCTGTGTACATCTGTTTTATTTCATGGAATTATCAAGAATTCAAATCGACCCAACTGTAAACTGTCCGTTTTCTTCTCTTTTCCTCTGTTTTCCTTTTTTCCCTCTTCGCCTTTAGTATGATTCAATTTTCATTGTTGTAATAAACGTCATCAATATATAGGTTTTACCCCATTGAGAATTCAACAAGTTTATACCTGACATGATTACTGATTGAGTAGGTTGTAGCACATTGTAATCTAACTGAACGATTTTGGTACACATGCCATTTTAATGAACCTCTAATTCTGGTGACATCACTTCATTATCTATGTCATAATATGACATAATCCAGTGTATTAAAAAAAGAACAAGTGAGTTTTTAACTGTTTTGCTCAGTTCTTCTATGACATTGTTGAAATGAGTTAAACCTTGAGAGCGATGAATGTTAAGATATCCAAACTAAAGAATCGGTTGAGTCGATAACACTGTTTATCACACTGAATAGTGAATAAACGGAAGTATTTTCTTGGGAATTTATTTTGAAGAAATTGAAAATTCCAAAAATTTCCACTGCTTTTTCTCATCGTGAAGAACGTCCTAGTATTTTTTTAAATCAGTGTTCTTTCCTATTCTCATTCAATTCATTAGAGTCAATATCAACGTAGTTGGCCGAAGTCAAGGATGATTCTTTTTTTATTTGATATTAATTGTAATTAATTCCCAGCTTTAAAAATAATATTAGCGTAGACGCCTACTACGTTGATATTTCTCATGGAGAATTAAGAGAATTATTCTGCAGATTTCGAAAACGGGATTATTACAAATACGGTCAAGTTTTGGGATTCACAAGTTCCACTTTGTTTTGTTAAGAGGACTGCATGTTTTCTCTATTGGTTAATGAAAACGTAAAAGTTGAGTGGACATTCATCCCACAAGAGTGACTTATGTATTCCCCTCTAGAAAATACATTAGCATAGATAGCAAATTGATTGATTTCTGATTTCTCTTGTTTTAAAACTATCATGTCTCCATGTCCAAAAGCTTCGAAGTAAATGTGAAATACAAATCATACCATTTTCCCTCGGTGTATTGCAATTACTTAAGGAACACTGTATATTATTAGATATTTGTTTTTTTTTAGGCTCAGGGAATTGGAACTAGCACCAACACCTGAACAGAAACAGGAAATCCTGAAACTTTTCAAACTAGAAAGTGAGCCAATCATCGAAAATCAATATGAATACATTATGAAGATTGTTCATGGGCTGTTTCAAGAAGAAAAGTTTTGTAGTTTCCTCAATATTCGTAAAGGCAAGGTGAGACGAATGCCGGTTTCAAATCGAAACATGAATTGCTATAATGAGGCTATTTTCATTCCAGATGCTAATTTTAAGACTTTTACTGCATTTAACGATGGACATGTTCCCTTCCCAGCTGATAGAGTTGTGGAACAAGACCCTGCTCAGTTTACCTATGGTAGGTAGAAGAGACACGGCGGGGGATAATATTTTACCAAAGTTTTTCCCATTTTTGAAAAGGTCAGTTCGGATCTCTTGAGATGTACTTATTCGAATTAACAAATTCTTTTCAGATTCGTTCAAACGAGGAATATGTCCGATATCCTGGAAATCGTCAGTGGATTAGTGGAAGTGGTTAAACAAGAAAACAATAGGAGTACTCCTTTGAGTCACGTGGGCAAATCACCTCTGTACTTTGTGTTATTGAATAAGGTGAGTGCGACTTTTACCTGAGCTACTACGTCGCATATACAGTGTGTCCCACTTACCATGCTCACCATGGGTATCTTTTTAACGGTGAGAGATACGAGGTCGGTTAAATGACAACAAATTTGGAGTTTGTCAAGGCCAACTATAATGTGAAAAAATATTTTGATAAAATCTACTCGTTTTTGTTATATACATAAAAAACAGATTTTGATCATTTTCATGTCTCCTTTGTAACTTCTTCATTTATGGAAATATTCAAATAGGAATTTGCTATATATTATGAGCACTATCAGCACTTTCAGAATCTGAAAATCATCTTCAAATACCTTTGCAAGCTTTGACTCGCAAAACAGCCAAGTGCTCTCGTAATGGAGTTTGTTGTTAGCAGAGGCATGAAGATCTCATTTTTTAAATTGTCTTCTTATCTCTTTCATTCACAGAGTGATCTCAAAAAATTAACTTTCTGGTTTTGCAGTCATAACTTTTCTCCTTGTCAACCCGTTTTTAAAATCTCATTTTGAGGCTAAAACTTCAGATGAAGGGATGTGAAGATCAGAATTGACTCAAGATGAACATTATACAGTGCGGCTCACTTCTAATGGAAGCACTTCTGTATGTTTGGTAATTGTTGAGTTAGGATTCTGAAACTCACGGGAGCGGGAGATATACTGAAAATAAACACTATGACCAAGTGGTCATATCCAGTGATAAACACTGCTCGCCAACATCTATGGAACCACCCAAATTTACGGAAAATGTTATTATCAGCCAAGATAGGTAGAAAATCACTTCCGGTTCGAAATCAGGACGTCCAATTAACTGACTATACATATTTTTTCTGGAAAATTTTCAGTTCAGAAAAATTTATTTTGTCTCACTTCTGATGGAAGCACCCCCGTATCTCACGTAGTTATTAAGGTAGGGTTCTGAAATTCGCAGGAGGATGCGACTGGGAGGTCCTGTTTTTGAATCCTTATCAGTTTTGTGGTTGGTTCCATGGCTGTTGGCGAGCAGTGTATATCACTGGAGACGACTTCACTTGGTCATAGTGTGTATTTTCAGTATATCTACCGCTCTTGCAAATTTCAAAATCCTAACTCAACAATTACGAAAGATACAGGGTTACTTCCATTAGAAGTGAGACACACTGTATAATGTTCATCTTGAGTCAATTCTGATCTTCATATCTTCATTTGAACTTCAAGCTTCAAAATGAGCCTGAGAAATGAGAACTCTCCCAAGATAATGAGATCATCTACATGCCTCTACTGTCAAAGTTGAAAAAAAAAGTTTTTCTCTATTTGGGATACTTTTTGATATTTCCGAAATTTTGCACAGTTTCAGGTAACACCCTGTAGCGATTTTATGTAAAGAACCTCATGGTTTAAAGAATTACGAGATTATAGCTGAAGGACTCGGCTAGCGAACAGTGTGATCCGAATTCAAATCGTTCAAAGCAGAAAAAAGTTATTCATTTTTCAACAGAGGCAAAATTTTGGGGTGCGACGAAATTAGAGTTTCTAAATGTACTTGACACTGCTGTTTTGACGTTTTTTGTACATTAGAGTATGGACACTAGACAAGAAGTGACAATCAAACATAACCACAAACGATTTTGAAGCAAATCATATGTTTCGCCAGACAAGGACAAGAATATGTTTTTCGCTTAGATAAAGGATCCTCGCATCTTCCTTCCTCCACAAGTTCTGGGAAGAGTGCATCCATATATATTTCTCTGTCTTTGATTAATGTATGAGAGTGTATAGCGTCTCCTCGAGTGGGTGAAAGGGTACGATAAATTGATTAGAAAATTATTTCTTCTCGAAATATTTAATGATAAGGCTGGAGGACCTCAATGGAGGTCGATATCAAGTTGGTATGTTCATATATACCAACGAAATACATATACTATTCCTACAAAATAAGTCTCTTATATGAAGGTATGTATATACGTTCAATTGAATATTTTTTTATCACAAAAGTTCAGAATGGGATAAAAACTGATGAATTTCAACAAATGAAACATAGTTTTATTTTCGTATGGAGCAATTTAACTTGTACAAGAGTGGTAGGTAATAAGTAATTAATAAATGAACAAATGATATGGCAACAATAGCAGCTGATTTCAGTTAGGATAAATAATAAAGGTTCTCCAAGACATACGGAAGTGAGTCTAAATGGACTTCAGCGCTCGCCTCACTATAGATCGCCGTTGACATTGCTGAAGGATATTGTTGGTTTGAACCCGGCCATCGGGAGATAATTTTCAATACCTAACATAAATGGTGCACTCGTTAAGCGTTCTTGTATTTCTTCGAAGATATTTGCCGAATTTGTTTCAAATCTGAAATAATTTTTAGGTAATAGTTCTGAATTTTGCTAACTCAGACTTTTGTATCTTAATCTTTTTGTTCAACTTATTTTCCAACTCTCTAATTTTTTCTTCTAATTGTTTCCTGAATTCCTCACTCTCTCCCACTCGTAAACCTTGGATTTTTGAATATTCCTGCTCTAATAATTCGATTCTCAAGTCTTTTTCTTCCAAAATATGTTCGATATTAATTTCATAATCTGCAAGTTTTTCGTTTCTTGTTGGTTCTAAATTGGAATAAGGTTCTCTTCGATACTCGCTCAGTTTATAAATTGTGGGTTCGGCTCTTTCTCTTCAACATCAAATCCGTTCTGAAGTGTACCTGATGAAAATGCGTTGAAAAATGTTCTATATCCTACCTAGAAATTTTAATACCTCGCAAATTTTGTGGCCTGAACCTATACTCCATGCTGGCCACATCATATTCTGTTTCCATTTTTGTAGAATTACGTTATCCGATGGTATTCGAATAGAGTGAATTGATTTCCTGTGCTCTCACAGTTGGAAACTGCACAAACTTGCATCTTTCTCCTAATTCTCTCAAGTTGTCAAACCTTTGAAATTTATGTCATGTACGTCCGTGTACTGCCAGTTCCCGCATTTTTCATTAATTTATTTGTGGTTATGTCTGATTGTCAGTGCTTGTCATAGTGTCCGTGCTCTAAATGTACAAAAAACGTCAAAACAGCAGTGTCAAATTCATTCAGGAACTCTAGACGAAATTATTGTTGCGTAGTTTTCGCGAGATTCACGAAGTGGGCGACATCTAGGTGACATAATACGAACTTCAAACTGGGGGAAAACGAACTGTTGTCTATGGATAAAGCGCATAGACTACATTGCATTCAGCTTGCTGTAGCTGTAGCCAAACTTGTTAATAACATAAAGTGTTGGCACTGTTGGTAGTGATGATGGTTGAGTTGATTAATTTTTTTACATTATTACATTTTTATTAGTTTAGTGAACAGTGAACGGGTGAAGAATAGGAGATAGTTCAAACAATTTATTCTAATTATGACGAGCAAATCAATTGACATATAAAAGCACAGCTACAACATGTTAACAATACCCAGATTGTCCTGCTTTACATGAACAAATACAAATCCATTGTTCTACAGGAGTTCCTCTGGACCCCAACTTCAATTTTACCTCATGTTGGGAAGATTTCATCGCCGAAGTTTGTATACAAAGTGCAAAAATGTGTCTTTTGTTGAAGTCTTCTGCCTCACACAAAATCACATGATTAGCACGGAGAACTGCTTCTCCTTCCACTACCGGTCGGCTTTTTCCATCTAAATAGAGCAAAATATCTGCCAAAACAACATCTACAACAGGCATTATTAGCGTTTGCGATCGAATATTGACAATTAATATTAAGAAATTCGAAAACTTATCACTCTTATCAGTATACACAGTACACAAGCTAATGGCACTAATGGGATTGAGTGAGGATTGAGTTTTTTTTTCCCCAGTTTTGACATGGCTTTGACATGGAACGATGAAAACCGAGCGCCACCTTGTAACATTGATTCCCCTATTGAAATTGTTATTTATGTTTTACAGTTTGGCGTTTCCGCTTTAGTATCCGTACTAATACGAGTGGAGCATTTGATAGCGACCGAGTCACTGTCGGAGAAACAGCTGAACACTTGGTCAAACTTTTTGTCGAGTTGGGCCCAACAGACGGAGATGGTGAGCAAAGTGGCAACACCCATAGAATTCATACCCTCGCAGATATTCGTCAAACATTGTGATCGTTTTGATAATTTGAAAACGGACAAACGGTCATTGCTAGAGAAGTATTTTGTGGATACCAATTCTAATGTTTGAACTATTCATAATAGTCTTTTCAAGTAGATATGGATTCAAACAGATTTTATTTTTCTTATTTGTAAAATATCTAACTTATTCTTTTTTGTATTGAAATGTTGAATTTTAAAGCGATATCAATGTTGAGAACTTCACGAGTGGGCTGTAATTCTGATGTTTTATATCTGAAAACGTCTGAAACTCTGAAACAAAAAATGGAAAGTTGATTGAATTTAGTCCTTTTCCAAAGTCACTGATGGATTTTGAAGTCTGCTCATGATTTGTTAACAAAAATTTTAGATTTCTATGTTATTTGGTAAATTTTCTCCCTGTTACCTAAACGGATGAAAGAAATTATTATATTTAGTTATTTTAAATTGAATTACTTATAGGATAAAAAATATCATGACTAAAAACCAAATTGTTTGTTACAGATATTTTTTGAACAGAAAATATTTTTTTTGATAATTTTTCAAACGAATCTGATATGTTTTGTGTTTGTGTTGTTAATTATTTGTTTATAATGTAAAATCACCAATATGGTCAATAATTGTTATGAAGTAATGATGTTATTATTTGATTCTGTTTTTTTTAAACTTATTCCTACCTATTTCACAATGCAAAGTACATATGTTTTCTGATTGCATTGCAAAATAATTGACAAGTGTTATATTTTCTTATTCCTTAGTTTTTATTTGAAGATATCGAAATATGTTTAAAGATATCATTATGTTATGGATATTTAAGCTTCTTTATATAGCTAGCTTGCAGATATAAAATACATTGTTTGGCCCTCAGTGATGTTTTTTTATTCAACTTCAGGCTAAGATTCTTCGGGCCAATTTTTTATATCCCCTGTTGGATAAGATTTTCGTCGTTACTTGCTGAAATGTCAGAAAATCAAAATGAAAAAATGTTTTCTTCTTCAAGATGATTTATATATTTTTAAATATTTATTTTTAATACTGTTTCAACATATACAGTGCACAAGTTCTAAACTGTATAAAACTAAAGCTTTATATAAATACAAAAAGGCATGTATAATAATTGATATACAGGGCATTTTTCGAAATTGTCAATTTTCACCTGAATATTACTAGCGAATTAGTGATGTTAAGGAGAAAACTGAACAAGGACATTTTCAATAAATTAGGAAAAAAATATACAAACTAAATAATTACATTCTCGATTAGAAAACTAGGGGTAATTGAAATATACAAAAAAATACATATTCAAAATTATATGGAGTAATTTAAATCACTGAGATCTGAGATCGGTTCAAGATGAAATTAGGAATTGAATATTCATTCACAACTCCAGATTTAATTGTATTGCTTGAATTTTCCGTGTGCTAGGATTATGGTACCTTTAAAGTGTATAAAAACGAGATTGTTTCGAAAATAAAAAATGGAAGATAGGGAAAATTGTTTCCTCTTGATTTTCATTTTCAATAATGATACACAAAGTATATTCTTCGAAAATACTATTTCAGAGTTTCCATTCTTTAGCAATCACCCAAATCAAGTGATAAGTTGCTGAAATACCAAAAATAAAATACAAAATGCGTTCAGAGTGTCCAATTTGAAATAGAGTATTCGGGAAAAACTAACATTCCTTCCTACTACAGGCAAGAATATCCGATATTGAATCACATTTTTTCGTACCTCTTAGTGACCTGAAAGTTTGTTTAATTTATACAAACTCGAGTTACACAAATGTCTCGTATTCATTATTCATTGAACATAGAAAACGCGAGTGAACAAAAAATTCACAAATAATGAGATCTTCACAAAATTCTTGAAAATACATCTTTGCTGGTAACATGTCACTTGCCATGGCCATTATATCCGCGAAAATCTTCAGAAGAGCTCTTTGAAAATACACTCAATATTAAATAACCATATATTTTTTGCTGCTCCCTGTATTTTTTCTCAGAAAATGTAAACGTATCTTTTGATTGAAAAAGTAAAAAAATCCCTGTTTTTTATTGTTTTTTTATCGTCAGAATTTATTATCTTCCATGACACTCGCTTATCAACCAAATTTTGTGTTATTTTTTTAGGTAAAAAATGTGAATTTTTGGAAAGAACCATAGATTAAGAAGATGTGAAATAATACGCTGAATACGAAATTTAAAAAAATCAAGTTATGGCCCTAAAAAGTTTACCAAAATCATTGTCACAGCAAAGTGATGTAACAACTAAAATAAATGGTCATTCCGCCAAAAGATACTTGAGGTAGATGAAGTGCCAGGCGAATTTCAATTACCAGAAAAAAATCGAATAACTTCTGAACGGTTGAAGCGAATTGCAAAAACTAAACGTTTATGAAGCCAACGAAGGATGTCATTAAAAAAAATCTTAATACTTGCTCCGCAAAGATTGTACACCACCCTGTACAGGCAAAATGATTTTACAAACTGCACACCTGTTTGCAGTGTCGCTTCTTTTCGATAACATTTACGGTGTTGGCGCAATGGAGCTTTCCCATAATCCTGTATTTTTATACAGACCCAAAAATTTTGGCATATATACTATTGAGAAAACAATAGACAATATTCTTACCGGAAAATTAGACAATAAGACCATAATTGAAATCATAGAACATCAACATATCCCAAATCATCAACAGCAAAGGAAGCTAGCAAAAGCTTGTTCTTACAATTTTTGGAAAATATCATCCTTTGTTAATTTTTTATAATTACTATAGATTTCTATTGAGTGAAGGCCGAGTAAACTGAAAAAAAAAAGACATTTCTCTTCCAAATTGGACACCTACTGAAAAGCCAAAAATAGTAAATGCTTCAATCCCCATTGAAAATGAAATCAAACAACATATTTCATTAAACAAATGGTAAAACTGCAATTATCATGCGATGGGAAGAATATCATTTGGAATAATGGCTTGCGTAATGTCATTCAAAAGCAATCTGTTGACATTTGACATCTCGTATTTGGATTTACTATTGATTAAATGACCGTCATCTGGTATGCTTGTTCACTAAATATGAAAAACTCGCCATGAAAATCATATTTCCTGTTGAATTTTCTATATAAAAATGTGTCATTGAAGTAGACCATGAGTATATAAAGTGTCCAATGACAAAATAAAAAGATCAAGTAGCTATAAATGCATCCAACACGAGGGGAAAAAGAAGACGAAATTTCGATCTTCTTGAAATATCTCGATAAATAGTTTGTTCACATTTTCAGTATCAAATTCGTGTTTTTCAGATAAAAATACGTAAGTACCAACAAATTTTTCGAAAAAAATAACCATCATATGATAAATGCAGTTTTACCAAACAAATTTCTATTTAGAGTGAATTGAAATAAATCACTTTAGTGAGCCGACTGACTATTCCTCTTTGAAATACCAAGTCAGCTTATTTTTAAAATCAAGGTACCTAAACTCCTATCACACATATTGAGAGGTCAATTGAACATTACCTCTAGTTGGCGTTCTATTCAAATTGGACGTCACCATTACCCACCATTTGTCACAAATTACTTTGCTCGACAAACTTCAAAGGGTGAATTTAACTTATGCACATAAACTGTGGAATATTATATTGTTTAACGAGCACAGAATGAGTCATTTTGCATTCCGTGTCATGGAATTCAAATTTAGTGTCTTTCAAGAACATTGACATTCCTTGGGAGACGTGATTTATTGTATAATAATAACCACAACTGTAACACATTGAAGTCATTGTTTCATCGAAAACATTTGAGAAAGGGAAACGACTAACAAAAATGAAAAAAAAAAAAAGTTTCCCACAGAAATTTATAATCAACCTCAAAAATAACTTTCAACGAAAAATAAACTCACTTTTAGGCTTGGGTTCATTTGGTACCTACAAGTGCCTATTAATATTTTCAATTCCATGAACTATTTATGTAAATGAAAAATATGATTCTCAACTTTTTTCTGCATCATTAGATGTTATTTAGAATAAGCTAATACTCCAAGCTTATGCATATAGGTTTATATTAGTCATCCCTCTATTGTCACAAAATATCCAGAAAACAAGATGGTTACATCAATCGAATCTGTGAAATGTAAATGGTGCTGGGTCTTTTCTGTGAAGAAATCTACCATCATGAAAAATATTGGTATATTTAATGGTTCTAATGTAGATTGAGTGGCTCCCCAAATGAGTTCGGCCACTACAACATTTTTTTCCACTAATGCATTATCAAAATTAATTTCAGGATTGTTGTATATTTGCTATTTTCGTTTTGGTATCAAAATAGTTATTTGTTTAACTAGGCAGCAAAGTAGTAGATTGACTGCCGAGGCTGAATTCATAGCCGACCGTAGCGAGGCTAGGAATCCAGCTAAGGCAGTCAATCTACTTTGCTGCCGAGTTGAACATATAATTTTTTCTCCGATTGTTCATAATGATATATATCTTTATTTTTCCTTCAAAATAAAATTTGGTAGAAATCGCAGTTGTTGGAATGGTTGGTTGCTATGGAAATGTCCATAATAATTATAGTTTGACAATTCATGAAATTTCTGACAGTTGTGCGAAAAAATATCGGTAAATTTAAATTATTATATAATGGACAGTGATAGCGACCTGGAAGTACTTACACCTCCAGAAATGAGGGAGGTGGCAAAAAATATAAAGTTGAATTCGTTGACGGAGAAGTTTCGGATGAAATATGAAGGAAATTATAAACGATTCATGGATTATTAATTTTGCTGATACATATCAATCAGCAAAGTAACCACTTTGCTGCCTAGGCAGGAAAAGTAATACTTTGCTGGTTGATATGTGTCAGCAAAATTAAAATTTGCTGCCAATCGGAGAAAAAATTATTATTTTTTGCAGCGATTCATTATGAAAAATATTGCTCTACAAAAATGCCCTATAGTGCGGCAGTTAAGCTAGAATATTCCAATGTATTTTGCACTTTTTGATAAGGGCAATAGAATGTCATGTGACATTCGATAATTTCTTGTTACCTAATTTACAATTCACTAAAACTGCATTCACAACAACTTGAAATATTGTTTGAACTTGTTCAAATTGGTGTACAAAAATACCTATTGGTAACTTCGCCAATAGAGAAATGAATCACTTTATCAACTAGAAGATACTTTCCAATTGACCTGCCGATATCTAACTTCTAAATTAGTCAAATAAAAAACCGAAATCTACTCATTGGTGTTTTCATTGCCTATAACATTACGAACAAGGCAATATACCAGTTAGTCCAAAAGATGGAATTGTTACCAGTGACTTGTGAGATAACCATTCCAATGGACAGAGCAGTATATTTTCATTTTATCGACACGTTAAGAGAACACTACAAACATTGATTGAAAGTCGTTCAAACCATTAGTTTACCAAAAAAACTTATCAACCACTAAGCTATCACAAAATGTCAAAACCTATTATTGGAAATGTCTAATATAAAGTATCGATGAATTAACTTAGGCCAAAAATATTGAACATTAAAGAGCACGAAACTCTTACGGGAGTACTATTCTGAACAACCTACAGACAAATTAAAAGTCTATTAAAAATATGTTTCTTTGATATATTAAAGACTAGGTGAGTGTTGTTATATTAGCATTGTTCATTTCTTGGAGTCGAGTTTAAAACCTGAAAGAATCAATTCAAATTAGAAAAGGTTTTACATAAAATGAAGATGATGCTTCATCAAAATTGAACTGAGTCGAAAATGAAATGGATATAGAAGGTTTATAAACAACTTCAAATGTGAAAGATTTAATGATTTTGTTTGGCAATTATCAAAATAGGGGCACTGTTAGAGTCCAACCAGGTTAACTTTGGGACAGCACGTGGTCACGTTTGTATTGAATATGCATATTATGCGTTGAATCACGTGGGTGTCCCGAAGTTAACATGGTCGGACTCTACTCACTCATCCCCTGTTTTCAGTATTGGTCTTTGACCGATTGATAATACCAGGCCCCTTACGTAGGCAACACATTGGACATTTTCAACTTCAATTCCCTTCCATATGGTGCTGTTCCACGAATTCGGTGATCTACTTTTGAAAAGTTCGCGAGATACAAATGTTTTCATAAACTACGTTGGTAATTATTTTCAGAAAAATCTATATATCTCGAAGACTGTTGTAGATAGAAAGGTTTCTATTGAAAATGAGAAAGTTGGCGTCTACTTTTGACACACAAATTGAACTGTAAGTTGGCAATTTTCTAATGTGTGGCCTATGTAGATCATCCTGTATTTATAAGTTCGGGAAGAAGAGCTCAAAGAATATGTGAAAATATACATATGTTTTTTAACATTCTGAATGTTCTTTGTTTTAACACTACTAGAATTGTGTAAGGAACTTTTCATTACTCGTTCATTACACTATTACATCTTGTATAACGGGGGTCAAAAAAATAATCAGTTATACAAACTTTCATGATGAATAAGTAGAAATTTGAAATCGTAATTTCTATTATGCTGCTATTCTGCACACCAGTACAGACTCTGTAGGCTATGTATAATTCCATATTTATAGAATGTAAGGAATTCGGTATTCTGCCAGTGCGATTTCGATATATTTCAATAAAATGACATTACATAGTTTGTAACATTCCAATGGACCCGATTTTCTTACTATAATTGTTAAATTACTCATGTAGGTAATAATATGGATGTTATAAGAAATCTTCATATATTTTGAATTGACTCGGCCGTTACTTGATGGAAATCCATGGCAAATGTAAAAACTTCACAAACGATAGGATTTCCACAAAATTCTTATACACACAACATGTTTCGCTAACACAGCACAGTAGCTTCGTCGGTTCAAGTTTCGTTTAGCTGAAATCAGTTATGGAAAATTTGTTGCTATGGCAAACCGTTGTCATGGTAACAGGTAAACAGAAAACAAAATCCCGTGGTGAGGAAATGCATGGTTGCCAAGTTGTATCGGGTTTAGTATTGCTGAAATCAGTTATGGAAAAACTGTTGCCATGGCAACGATCGTCATGATAACGAGTAAACAAAAACCCGATTCCTGTGGTGAGGAAATGCGTGGTTGCCAAGTTGCATCGGGTTTTGTTTGACTGAAATCAGTTATGGAAAAACTATTGCCATGGCAACGATCGTCATGGTAACGAGTAAACAAAAATCCGAATCCAGTGGTGAGGAAATGCGTGGTTGCCAAGTTGTATCGGGTTTAGTATAGCCGAAATCAGCGCAATCTTCGACCCTCAAATTTTGTTCTGCTAGTATTCAAACAATAACTTTATTCAAATGAATACCCTTCTTATCATTTTCTTGAAGACTGTTCGTCGTTGATTAATTCCCAAAGTACTACTTCTCTGACGATCATATATGGAAATAACGTCGGAAAAAAATTGGCTTTGTTATTGAACAGAGCTAGACAAAATAGCGAGCGACAAACTAGTGCGGAACAAATAGCGCATAAGGAAGGACTACTTTTTCTAAACAATCTGACCTAACTCGGCTTAAATGAACCTTCTTAGAAAAAATATATTTTTCAACATCGATCAGATTTGGTAGCAAGGCATCGTTCGTGTGTGTTTGAAGACTGCATAAAAAAGGACACTACTTTTTCCAAACAATCTAACCTAACTCGACTTGAATCAACCTTCTTCTTGAAAAACATATTTTCCAACATCGTTCAAATTTGGTAGCAAGGCATCGTTCGTGTATGTTTGAAGACTGTTGCTGAATATTTCAAAATGGCTCGGTTTCTTTTTGATTTTGTCGAATAGCTCGGCACGCGAAGAATGGTTACATTGAAGAGTGTTTTTGAAATAAATGAATGAAGCAATAATTCTCCGATACAAATTGGCAACCACGCATTTCCTCACCATGGAAATCGGATTTTTCTTTACTCGTTACCATGACGATCGTTGCCATGGCAATAGTTTTTCCATAACTGATTTCAGCCAAACTAAACCCAATACAACTTGGCAACCACGCATTTCCTCACCACAGGAATCGGGTTTTTGTTTACTCCTTACCATGAAGATCGTTGCCATGGCAACAGTTTTTCCCTAACCGATTTCAGCTATACTAAACCCGATACAATTTGGCAACCACGCATTTCCTCACCACGGGAATCGGGTTTTTGTTTACTCGTTATCATGACGATCGTTGCCATAGCAACAGTTTTTTCATAACTGATTTCAGCTAAACGAAACTTGAGCCGCTTCGTCAGGTGATATACTGGTACAATGAAGTAAACCAACGTTGGCTTGCTTAACTTTTATACATCCTACTTTCCCAACTTGGAGGATTAATTACCTGTGGACAGGTAAACCTCCATTTTCAGAAATTAGGCACAATATCTACATTAAATTACGGTATACCGGATTAACTTGAAAGGGATGATAGCTAATAAATATTATTACCTACTAAGAAAACAAATTCAACAGTGGTGAACTATTATTGAGGTCTAATATTTGGTTGGCGTATGATGAATTTGTTTTTCTTCTTTTTTTCTTCATATATGTTTGGATCCATCGATATAGAAGAAGCTGGAAGGTATAAGAAATGAAAATTGTTAGGCATTAATAATAGTATCAGTCGAATTTAAGAATTATATAACCATGAAAAAGACAATTAGTCAATCATACAATTGATATAATCTATCAAAACCAACCCTGCCTGAAATGTGAGGTTAATGAGAAGCTATGAAGTTAGATATCCATCAATATTCAGTAAGAGGAGAGGCGTAAATTTCAGCACGGGGTTCAGTGTTTGGCAGAATACCCATTCTCTGTTAAATTAACATAATCTGTAAGTATGTCTGTTACAGAGTCTGTATCCTACATACCTTACATAAATATTTGTTATATAGATGGTCGGCAGAATAGCAGCATCAATTGTTTCAGACTTACCATAAATATTGACTAGTTCATTTGGAAATTGTTTTCCCTCCACTTCTTAAAGGGGCGTCTCCTTCCGCCAGTGAAAACTGTTGGTTTTGGAGGCAGGATTAGCACCCGAAGCGGATTTTCGTAAATTCGCCGCAGCAGTATCTAAACCGTTCTTAACGTTGGCAACTAAACGCAATGCCGGATTCGTAACTATGCCGTTCCTTTTCGACTTTTGGTTACTGAAACAAATAACGAAAGTTGGATAGTAGATTGTTTTATTAGGAGCAAAAGTGAAACTTTGTTTAACAAGCGAATTTTGCATTTGCGAGGCGGGTCTAGCGAAACCAGGCGAAAGCAAAATTTGCGAGTCAAGCAAAGTCACTTTTGATCAGAATGAAACATGCTATTTTATCTGCAACCGGAAGAATAAAATGTAATCCGAGACTACAGGCACGAAATCAATACTACCCGAAACGTGGATGCCGTGTCATATGTATGCAATACAACAAATAATACGTGTAGTGAAAATATTCTACCTGCATTTACAGATCAGGTTTATTTAATTTTCAAGGATGTAGGTGTCAGCCCTAATAGCAAAGACCGTGCCAGTGCAGGTATAGGGAAAAGAAATGAAAATGTTAGGTTAGTGAGCATATCAACAATAATAATAGCGATTATTTATTTCTCTTCATATTCCACCATCTTTGGTTCGGTAATCGAATGAAGCTAAACAATATCGTTGTGTGAGACAGAAAGGTATTGCTGGCAATGATTATTCAAAAAACGAAACAGTTCAACTTTAGCTCCTAGGAACTAAAAGTGTTGCCTGTGTTCGTGTCAGTAATAGAAACGTCAATTCAAGAGCTAATCAAAATGGACGAAATTTGTGTCGGTTGCAGAAAAAATAACATTTCGCCCCACCTGACGGCAATAACGTATTCATTTGAGAGCAGTTTGTTCTGAAAAGCAAATGTAAAGAGAGTAAACAGATCGCCTACACATCTTCCAAAAACCTCAGGTGGGGTACGATTGCCACTCATTTTGATAAAATTGAGTTTTCCCGAGTTATAGTGCAATATCATTACCATCATTACATTCATAGTACACTTGAGGAAGCGACACAATGGAAATTGTACTTAAACAGCCACTATTCTCAATGTTGTTGAAACCAAAGATCTCATAACTTATATAAGATAGAGATGGAACCATCATTATGGCTGCGTCCCAGTGAAAATGCTACAGGTCCAATAGTCGCACTTACTGTCGACACCATTTTGATGTTCGTTACTCCGTTTAATTTACTGCGCAACCATAATTTCACGCCACGCGCAACAGGTTATCTATTTCATAATGATTGCGATACTTGCACACATAATATCCAACAATTAGGCATGAAACTCTATACTTCGGTACCTATGATAATACGTCTTTTGGGACTCGTGAGTCTTGGATTATTTAGTTGATCAAATCAAATATCTAACCGAACATCAGGTGGGTTAGGTTAGGTTAGGTTGAACGTGAGTGGGCCCATGTCAGGCCCTCCACTGCGGCCTATGGCCTATTGTGGCTTGCCCTATGGTTATATTTCTCCCAGTATATCTAATCTCTTGGCGAAATTAAGGAGTACGTTGGCAGAACAATTTAACAGGTTTTCTGGCCCTACTGTTGTATTGAAAATCTGATTCTGGCGCTCCACTGCGGCCTATTGCCCCTATGGTTATATTTCTCCCAGTATATCTAATCTCTTGGCGAAATTAAGGAGTACGTTGGCAGAACAATTTAACAGGTTTTCTGGCCCTACTGTTGTATTGAAAATCTGATTCTGGCGCTCCACTGCGGCCTATTGCCTATTGTGGCTTGCCCTATGGCTATATTTCTCCCAGTATATCTAATCTCTTGGCGAAATTAAGGAGTACGTTGGCAGAACAATTTATCCGGTTTTCTGGCCCTACTGTTGTATTGAAAATCTGATTCTGGCCGCTGCAGGGCATGTACATAAAATGTCGTTTCATCCTCCTCCATGCATAGACGGCACTCTGCATCTTGTGCATGTGGTGTTTGAGTTTGCAGTGGCCAGTGAGCAAACCTACTATAACTCTGAGATGTGCTCTACTGAGTTCTAGTAGTTTGTCAGAGTCCTGTTTGTTCCTTGTACAAGCGATGAATGCTTTGGAATGGGCTAGGCCCGGTAGACTACGCCAATCAGGTGGGTACTTTAAAGGCACAAATTCGACATCGTCTCCAGCTGCAAACTTCATGCATCATATGATTGAAAGGAGTAGAGAAAACCCCAACAAATAAAAAGAAATGGTAATCCTCTATTTGTCATATTATAAGCAATAATAAGCCACAACTCATGAGGGAAAATTTTGAGAAAATTGATTTTTATTGACTATTCCACTCTTGATCTCGAGAACCAATCAGAATCGACCATTTTCATGGTTTCTTCTGTATTCAAGCGATATTTTTTGTTTATTAAATTTTATCGGACTTGCTCTACCAATACAGAAGCCGAATTGACCCACACGTGACCAACTAACCTCGTTTATCAGCGATAAAATTTTGACATCGTGTCTGGTCAAGATTGCTTTTGATTCAAATCTGAGTTCCTACTTTATTTTATTTACTTATAATTCGCGTTAGTGAGATATTTTGTACGAAAGGCGAGACAATTTTATTCTGGCTGGACGTTTCATGTGTAATTTAAAAAGTTTGCATATTTGTTGACGGTCTGACACAACAATAATAGAATTCAAATTCCTTTTTGAAGTAAACATTTCCAATTACTCAAGTTATTGTGACTGACTGATATAATTACTAGCTGATGTAGCGCAACTGTTAGGGTTGTTGCGCGTGGATGCGAAGGTCGATGGTTCGAGCCCTCGGCGACGATATCTTTTTTTTTTAATTATTCCATGTCACATATATTCAATTTATTTTGTTTGAATTGGATAGTAATTGTATACACTCTTTTGAGAGCAACCATCTCCAAGATAATGAAAAACATACTGTTAATCGAAATTGTACATTCCACTTTGTGTATTGTCTATACTATCATTATGTTCTTCTTTGCAGTTCGAGTTGGAATATACTTAAATTATGTTTCCTATTTCTTATATATATTGTCTCATTCAATCGTGAAATAGTCATACGAATACAACTCGTGATACTATTTTTCCTGGAAATATTCGTCGATTGCCATACTCCAGCTTACTGCTCTAATTACTAGGCAACAAGCTGTTGTAACAATCACCGAACATTTCCGGCAAAATATTATCACTTGTGGTATTATATATGATAATTAGGAATATATTACCAATACATAATTGAGAATTTATGGATTATTGAATAATTGATATTCCTGAATTTCCCAATCGTATTTCAAGATATGCCAACTGTGCTATGGTCTGCCCCTACTTACGAAACCGTGACGTCAGTTTTTATTCGCAGTAAATTTATAGACGTTTGAAAATTACCGTAGCATTATTGATGATTTAAGCACCTTGAAATCGACCGAAAAACTCTAAAAAAATATGAAATTGAAAGGTATTTGTGATGATTCTATTAAAAAAACAAAACAAAAATAGTCCACTCGCCTATTGTGACTTGTCATAATGAATCGCTTATTTGTGAAAGGGTGTAAGTCACCAAATGACGTAAAATGAGATTATGACGAATTCTTGTTCTCTGAAGATATATCTTCCATTTATTAATGAACAGATGCAAGTCACTTCCACCGTTAGCAGATAGGCGGCCACCAGAAAATCACGTTTGTTCATGAATGGATATAAGTCGATGACTTGTATCCTTTCATAAATTCATATTCCGTATTTCGCTGACGCTAGTAGCGCCACCACATCAACAATTTGTTTGCAAGCAGTTCAATGTATTTTTTTTAAAAAGTTTTCTGTTGACATGGTGAGAACCGATGATGTTTTGAATTTCAAAGACTGGTGGTCGAAATATTACAAAAAAACATGTCTGTCATTGGAAAGCAGTGGCAGAACCACTTCACGTTCACAGAAGGAGAAATTCGCAGTTTCTCGTTTCATGGAGTTCAGATACAGTCATACAAGAAAAGGAACTGTCGAAGCATTTACGTATATCGACGGATTGATATCCAGTTTGTTTGTCCTCGGAAGCACAAACACAAAAAAGGTAACATTACCGAGTCAAAAAGCTTACCCCGAAAAAAAAAATCCAATCAACATTGACAAAATGGCTGATATCAGGAAAGTGATTGGATACATTCCAGATGAATTCAGAGGATTTTATGAGGAAATTATCGGTTGGCCAACAAGAAAATTAGTTATATCTGATTTTTATGTGTCAGTTCTTTTCTCGATGTTCATGTTCGTTGATTTTGTTTATTTCTCAAGATTCGAGTTTTTTGAATGAAAATGATGTTTTTCAGTTCATGTTGTCGTTAAGTTGCAATTTCCGATGAAATAAAATGAATAATGATGATTCAAAAAAAAATTTTTTTCATTAATTTGTGAAAGAATATAAGTCAGAGCAATTGAATTGCAGATTACGTATTTCCTTTCCATGTCAGAATCAATCAACACACACAATATGATAGTTGCCATTATAAACCAAAATTCTTCTGCGAAAAAAAAAATTATTTTCACTCTGTTTGAGGAGACATATTTTAATCATTATCTCGAAACTTCAGTTGTATGACTTATACCCTTTCACAAATAAGCGAAATGTTTTGTATACCTATCATGACCAATTAATCTTTTTATCTCACCTGGATTTGGAACTGGGATTCTCCGAAGATTGCTCAGATTTTTTGTCTTTGCTGAAAGGAGAGTTACTGGAATTGCCCAAAATGATCCTCATGTGAGTATCTCGAGCAAAGTGGGTGTCTGGAGCCTTCGCGAAATTATTGTGCCTGAGGACTGGTTGATAGATGTTCAACGCTCCTGAAATCAAAATAGTTATTCATTTTTTGTTAGATGAACCAAATGAAACATATAGATGATGCTTTATGGACTTTTGATCCTTTTTTTTTCGGAGATGATTTATTGAAAATAATGAAGACAACATTTCCAAAGTAAAAAAAAAAAACAAATTCAAGATATGCAAACCATATAGTATTAGAGGAAAACCAGAGTTTTGATCACAATTTCAAAATGTTATATTGTACGATAATTTCACTTCAAGAGGAAGAATTCTGTGTGAATCTTATCGTTTGTGAATGAGGACTAACATTGACAAAACGCGCTACTGAAACGTGAAGTCAGGGTTGGTGGAACTGAAAAATATAGTTCTTATTTTCCTGCCATTTGGCATCTTCCTATGATATCTTCTTCCTCGTCAATGTAAGAATTGGTCGCAAAGTTCCATATTGAGAGTAAAAGTTGGCTCAAGTATTTCGATAACTTGAGGTTTTCTATATTTTGTTCAAATATTTAAAATCATTTTTTCGAATATTTTCGACAAAACAGGCCATAGGCTTCCGGATTATCCGGCTAAACTTTGGGATTTTTGTTTTGACACTGACCTCACGTTTTAGTAGCGCCAACTGGTGGGAGTGAAAATGTTAGCCTGGTTGTTTTTCCTTGAATTCACTATGGATTCCCATCAAAACGGCCAAGTCAATTCAACATTTCTAAAAATACACCAAGAAGATTTCAACAGACTGAGGATATCAATTCAATAATAGCTATTTATATATCAAGGGAACAAAGGTATCCATTTCCTCCCAAGATATTTAAATGATTTTATCCACGAACACATATATTTGAGAGCGTCGTTCTTAAAATTGTGCTTCAAGCGGTCTATCTCTCGAGTCTCGATCCAAATCAATGTGTTACATGATCTAAGGTTACAGAACGAAAATTAATTTGACGTTGACACTTCAATCACATTGAATTAGTTCATTGTGATGTAATTGGCAAGGTGATCGACCGTTGAGGGCGCTGTATCAAAAACAAGATGGCGGCGTTATCAGGGCACTTTGTATACATATTTTGTGTGTCTTGCATACATTTTATTCCTGCTATTCAATCGTGTTAATTGTGTTAATTCTCGAAGTTATCACAGAAAATATCAAAAATCATTGTTGAATCATCATTACATCGTGTGTGTGATTGACATAATACTGTCTTACGGATAGTATTACAGCTACAAAGAAGCCTTTCATCAAACCTGCGACATTCTGTAGGATATCAAAATGACCCAACCATTTCAACTATCGGTGAATTAGAGAGAAGCTGATATATTTGCAATGGTAATGGAGAATCTCAGCACAAAAACTGACCAAAAGCGCTGTGCTAATCTGTATACTGGTGCATGTTTACACTTCACTCAGCTTGTGCCTCAGATCCATCATACATTCCATACCAAGACCAGGAGATATTTCATACGACCAGGAGATATTTCATACGACCAGGAGATATTTCATACGACCACAACATACTTATAGCTGCAGCCCCAGGGAAGCCGTTTTAAGCCAATATGAAAAAATAAACATTCCAATTCACAGAAGTTTCAAGTTTATCAGTGATATGGGAAATATATCTCTCCCAACAAAATAAAATAGTAGAAGGTTCCAATGGAAACATGTAGGACCTATAATGTCTTTTAAAATGAATTTCCTGCACTTAAGAAGTCTTTTCTGATGATAAAAAAATCAGTTCTGTTGAATGGAAGAAATGAATAAACTTTGAGAATCGAATATGAATTTTAAAACTGGATGCTGGCAGCTCCAACAAAACCTTACTACCTTTCTTCACTTCATTGGTCCAATAATGAAAACAATTAGATAGGTGAATTTGTGATTCATAGATATATTTATTACTGATAATTGACTCTTATTTGTATTGCCTATCTGAGAGAGAACATAATTGAAATGATCAACAGTTCATATTCTGTTTATGGGACAATGTCTCCAGAAACTAGGACTCGGAAAAATAAGTATGGATGTTTTTCTTTCAAATATTTTCATAATGAAAATGAAGAAGCAAATTCAATGCCTTTGACTTTTGAACTGCAATACACAAGGCTGGACAAGAAAGTATATGACAATATGAACATGTGCAGGTGGGTAATTTATGGTTTTATTTGTAATGCGCTTGCCTTCTCTAAATCATATTGAAATTTTGTTCATGGCATCCTGTCTAGGCCTTTATAGATTTCTATTTTGTAGTATCATCTCTGTAGTTAAATAGCCAATGCAGATTGCATGTACTTCGAAAACAATCAAGTTAGAATACAGCTCCCTATTACATTCATATGAGCAAGAACAGAAGCATATTTTATAGATATATAATAACCCTGGTAAAAACAAATTATTCAGCAGTTATTGTAGGTAGTGTTTACTTCATAGTTTGAATTGAATCTTTGAACATACATGAAAGTGACAAAATCTATTTCCATTTCGATATTCAGATTGTGTAATAGTTCATTTCTTCTTCAATTTTTCAGCAGGGGAAGAGTTGCCATCCAGGGTATCTTGCAATTGAGTGCAAATAGCTACACAAATTGAAACCAAAACCCAGATTCAATTGATAGTATGATATACAGTTTTTGTTCATTCCCTTGAAGTTGAATTCAAATTTTTTAGGATATATCACTAATTATTTAGGTACTTCAACATATCCATGACATTTCAAATTGTATCTTGGAAATATTCATTTATAATTTTGCTGCTTGTATGTTTTTATTAAACTGTATATTTTATTCATAAGTAACAGTTCTAGTTTTTTTTTGTTTTTGTAATGATTTTCTTGTAGATTTTCAAAATTCATATTTCAATTCCACAACTACTTCAATCAACACCTCATTCTTTATTGATGCAATATTAAAGTTTCACTTTATAATCTTCATTGATTTCTTTTAAAATAGGTACAAGTATGACTTATCGATAACCTACCTCTTATACCTACTTTTCCTCATTGTTAATTTGTTTTTACATTATTGAAAGTCCTGGATTTCAAATTCATTCATAATTGTTGATTTTTATGAAGGTATCTTGTGAAATAATTCAGGGAAAAACAGTATACATGAGCACTGAGGGGAAAAGTATACTGATAGATCAAAGGTAGAATTTTCATCATGGTCATAGATAAATCATTTGTTCGGGAATTAATCGGTTAGCAGCATGATTCAACCTATTAGTCATTCATTCGAGACCAGGTGGTGGATCAAGAGTCTTATATTATATGTCATCACGGTCGAGTTTTGTGATCGCAATTGAAAAATACGCGAAAGGAAATATTTATCGTTCCAAACGGAGTGTTCACCTGAAAATGAGTGCAAGTATTGTGTTTTCGTGTTCCTCATAATTCAGTGTTTCGTGTTGTTTCATCAAAGCTTCGCATTTTTCACGCTGGTGAGTGAATAGAGATTCTCTGTTTTTCCTCGTATTTTCCTGTTTATATTTAACTCAATTAGCTTATATGTTTTCAAAATAAGAAACGTCTGTTCGTTGAATACTTTCAAGATAATAATTCGAAACGAGCAAACCAGAAGAAAATAAGACGATTCGAAATTTTTTCATGGAAAAATACCTTTTCCCTATACAGGGTGTTTCAGATTTAAATGTTCATACTATACCTGTAGATGAAGGAAACTTTGGTGAATCCAATCACTCCCTATCGATGTGTCTTCCATCTTTTATAATCAATATAATATACCTACAGGGTATGTTACGACAAGCTTACACCATCTTTATATCGAGAATCAGTCGGGAGAAATCCATGAAAATGTGCAAGCTTATATTTCAGAATACGCTCTCTTCATTTAAAATAATTTCGACAATGCAGTGTTGCCGCTTCTACTAGTAAGTAGTAGCGACATTGATATTTCAAATGGAATACTCTGCATTTCATCGCATTTTTAGATTCTCCCTGAAAAGCTGATTTCATCAATGCATCACACTTGGGGTCTATCAAAAATGATTAGGGCCATGTGAGCCGTTTAGGCCGATAATGAATAGTTTCGACACAAACAAATTCAAACGTTGAAAAATCTCGATTTTCAACACCCTATATTTCTGTAATCATTTCCGATAGACTCCAAGTGTGATGTATCGATGAAATCAGCTCTTCAGGGAGAATCTAAGAATGCAATAAAATACAGGGTATTCTATTGGGAATAACAAAGTTGTTGCTTCTTTATGATAGAAATGGCAACAATGCATTGCTGAAAATATTTCAAATGAAGAGAGCATATTCTAAAATATGAGCATGCATGAATTTCTCCCGATTGATTCTTGATATAGAAATAGTGTAAGCTCGTCGTGATACCTTGTATAGTAAATCAGACAATCAGACATATAATCGTTAAAGTAAAACTTGGAAAATCCATGGCCCACTATAGCCAAAATTCATCATGGTCTGATGTTTTAGTGCTTTTTAGGATTTCTGGAAATCCCATGTACAAAGTTTTATTCGTCATTTTGAATGGAAACAAATAACGGATTCAACTAAATAATAAAATACATGTATCTCCAAAATCATAGCCCCTAAAAAAATTGAGTACGCCACTGGATTCCTCGCAAAATTCTCTGTTAGACGTAGTAACTCAGCACAACCTTATTTCTAATATCTTCGTAGAGAAGCCTGGCAGTCTAAACCAAATTTTACATTTAAATCTGAAACACCCTGTATGTCTCCTTGTGCATTTTACATTCCTCGAGAAATTTGCTAGATTTTTTCGCTACTTCTGACTGTTTCTTTCAAATCACAAGAGATTTTTGTAAAAAATACACACACTGGCACAATTAGGGGAACGGGCAAAATTTACACTAAGTTTGACATCAATTTTCTTTCGAACCGATCGCTCGATTCATTTTTTTTTTTCACGAAATGTAGCTTCATTCTTCACGAATACATCTGAGAAATAATTACCTTCAAAAGATGAGTCTTTCCATCATATACAGAGGTGTAAAGAAAGTACGGATTTTTCGGTATTTTTT